GGTGAACTCATTCTATTCACAGGATCTTAGATTTAGAGCTAGGAGGGATTTTAGAAGCCCTCTAGCCCAACCCCCTCTTTTTACAGACTAGGAAACTGAGGCTCAGAGAGGCATAGTCACACATCTAGTAAAAGCCAGAGGTGAGATTTGAATACAGGTTTTTTCAAACTCTGAGTCCATCACTCTCATCTACTATATATGGATGTTTCTGTGGAGATTTGAAGTATTTCGGAAACTCCTTGTCATGGAAACTAGAGATTGGAAAATACCGGGGGCTTTTTTTAAATTTGCTTTTGTTTTGTTTTTACTATCTCGGGGTTTTTACTCTCTCTCCAATGCAATCGTGTTGTACTGGTTTTTCTTTCTGCTGTGTGAGGGAGAATGTAAGCAAGGAAATTGAAAGTGTAAACGTGACCTTTTCTCTGTGAAACTATAAGATGGTAAAAGATTATCCCCGCAGAGAAAAATCAAAGGCTAAACAATGGCCACATGCAAAGGCTTTTGATGCTAAACTGCCCTGAAGCCCCAGTACAACCAGGAGCCACAAGCTTAGAATATGGGCAATCCTTGCCTTTTTTTCATTATAAATATCATGGTTCTGATTATCTACTTGTGCAAAACACAACAACAACAACAACAACAAAGCTTTATTTTATTTTTCAGTGTTTTGATCTGCTTCATCATTGCCTCCCGCCCCCCCCAAAAAAAAAATCTGTGGAAATAGGTAAACCCTTACAGCTGCCTCTGGAATAAAGTCCAAGTATTTTGCCTATCTCGTTAATGAGCGCCAGAGAATGGCAGAGAATGTGTTTGGATGGGCACAGTGTCTGGAGTGGCTCTGGAATCAGGAAGACTCATCTTCCTAAGTTCAAATCTGGCCTCACTCACTTACTAGCTGCATGCCCCTGGGCAAGTCACTTAGCCCTGTTTGCCTCAGTTTCCTCATCTGTAAAATGAGCTGGAGAAGGAAATGGCAGACCACCTCAGTATCTCTGCCAAGAAAACCCCAAAGGGGATCACGAAGAGTTGGACACAACTAAAACTACTGAACAGCAACAGAACCTCAGCCATACTAAGGTTAAATCCATTTTCTACTGTACTGGGTAGCCAGGAAAGCATTATTATTATTATTATTATTATTATTATTATTATTGTGACGCAGTTGGGGTTAAGTGATTTGCCTGGAGTCACACAGCTATTAAGTGTTATGTGTCTAAGGCCCAATTTGAACTCAGGTCCTCCTGAATCCAGGTCTGGTGTTCTATCCACTGCGCCTAGCTGCTCCCAAGAAAGTATTATGACAAAAATTGAGCACTGTCTGTTGAAAGGTTGATGAGTGAGATGGAACACATTTTGTTCAAATCTGAATATAGAAATGAGTTTAATTTAAACCATGATTGAATACAAATTAACAAGAAAGGCAATGGATTGTACCAAGGTACTAACTTACTTAAATCTTGCTTTGATTTCATATTATTTTCATAAATATAATGGCTAATGAGTATTTATTTTTATCTGTTTGAATACAGAGTTGCATTTTTATGGAAGAAGTATGTCGTCTAGACACCACCATCCCTCTACTGATGGAATATTCAACCCATAGATATAGTGCCTAAGAGAAGGTGAATAGCCCCCAAGGTTTGGCAATCCCAAACCTTTATCTTAGGTTATGACCACAAAATTCCAGGAAGAAAGGAGAAGGAATGATGGTGAAATCCTATGGTTAGGGGAGAGAGAGAAGAGGAGGACAGAAAAGGGTGGGAAAAAGAAAAGGATAGATAATAAGAAAGGATTGGAATGAGGAAGATGAGGTGGACATACAGGTCCTGACTGTCCCATCCTGTGTCTGTACCCTAAGGTGATGGTTTTGTAGAAAAGAGTTGCATGTATATTGTAAGATGATCAATTGTGAATGACTTACCTATTCTCAGCAATACAATAATCCAAGACAACTCTGAAGGACATATGATCAAAAATACTATTCACCTCCTGAGAAAGAACTGATGGAGTCTGAATACAGATCAAACATATTTTTTAACTTCATTTTTCCTGGGATTTTTTGGGTATGTGTTTTCTTTTACAATACCACTAACACGGAAACATGTTTTACATGACTACACATATTATATATTGCTTACTCAGTGTGGGGGGAGAGAATTTGGAACTCAAAATAGAATGAAAAAAAATTTTTTTACATGTAATTGGGGAAAAATAAAATGGTAATAAGTAAAAAAAAAAAAAGAGAAGAAAAGAGTTATATGTAGAGCCCTCTCCCTGGACCCAGAAATTTCCATGCAGGTCTAGTTTACTGCTTTCCCCAAGCCTTACTAAAGTGAACTCCAACATTATTGCCTGATAGTATCCTGGAAACAGGTGGGAGACTTGTTCCAGAAGTAAGTAACTCATGGCATGGGAAGAACACTTGATAAGTATCCCAAGAGTCTGGTTTCTCAACTTTCCACTATGTAGACCTTTTCCTTTTATATCCTATTCCTTAATCTCCTTCTTTAATCTGTCTTTTTTCTTTTTCCATCTTCCTATCCCTTGGTCTTACCATGGCAACAACTGTCAGAAATGGGGGTTCCATAGAGAACAGGGCTAGGTGGTATTCACAGACCCATGGGGGTGGGGGTCAAATGGGTGGGGGTGAGTGTCCCAGAAGCAGGCAAAAAGAGGTCAAGATGGGCTGAAAGTCAGCCTGAGGGAGGTCCAACTGTGGATCTTGGGCAAATGTCTGAGGAGGAGGAGGAGGAGGAGTGTGTGTGTGTGTGTGTGTGTGTGTTTGTGTTTCACAGTTGAGACGCAGGTGGAAGGGCACTTGATTCAATAAGGAAAAATCCCTGTTTGAATGCTAACTCCAAGTCTGATTAGCTATAATCTTGGGCACATCATTTGACACCTTTGAGGCTGTGTCCTTATCTGTGTGGGGGCACTTGCATCCCTTGCCTCATAGAGCTATCTTAAGGAAAGTGCTTTGTTCATCTTAGAGTACTTTAGAGATGTGAACTACTGAAAGTTAGAAGTTCAGAGGAGGCAGGAAGTCAGCATCTGAGAGCAAGTAGTAAAGACGGAGACATGGACACTGGGCAGGACTCCAGTCCCTGACAATATTACTGTGGGACAAGTCACAAGATCTCACTAGGCATGAAGCAGGAAATCAAGGCTTTGAGGCACATGTGGAGGGTATAGGCAGAACAGGACCATAGTTATCAGAACTGGGGTACAAGGCAGGAAGGACTTGACCACAGGGAATGGGGTAAGAGCCCAGCTATAACAGGCAGGTACATTGAATAGGATTAAGCACCTTAAGTTCCTGGCCTATGTCTCTTTATGTTCCCCCCTCCCATTTGTCAGTCGGGGAATGTCTCTTATTTTTATAAATTTGACTCACTTTTCCATATATTTGAGAAATAAGGTCTTTATCAGAGAAACTTGCTATAAATTTTTTTTCTGTTATAACTGTGTATTTCCCTCCATCCTATTTTCTCCATTTATCTTACTCTCTCCTTTTACCGGCCATCCTTAAGTGTTTTGCTTCTGAATACCACCTCCCCCAATCTGCCCTCCTTTTATGTGAGATTATTTATCCTATTCTACCTCTTCCTTTCCCCTTCTCCCAGTGCATTTTTCTTTCTCACTCCTTAATTTTATTTTTTAGATATCCCATCATATTCAACTCACACCTGTGCCCTCTCTATGCTCCCTTCTAACTACTCTAATAATGAGAAAGTTCTTAGGAGTTACAAGTATCATCTTCTCATGCAGGAATGTAAACAGATTAACCTTACTGAATCCTTTTATGATTTCTTTCCTGTTTACCTTTTTATACTTCTTTTGAGTCTTCTTTTTGATAGTCAGATTTTCTATTCAACTCTGGTCTTTTCATCAGGAATGCTTGGAAGTCCTCTATTTCATTGAATAATCATTTTTCCCCTGAAGGATTATGCTCAGTTTTGCTGGGTAGATGATTCTTGGTTGTAATGTTAGCTCCTTTGCCTTCTGGAATATCATATTCTAAGCCCTCCAGTACTTTAATGCAGAAGCTGCTAAATCTTATGTGATCCTGACTCTGGTTCCATAATATTTGAACTGTTTCTTTCTGACTGCTTGCAATATTTTCTCCTTGACCTGGGAGCTCTGGAATTTGCCACATTATTATTGGGAATGTTCATTTTGGAATCTCTTTCAGGAGGTAATTGGTGGATTCTTTCCATTTCTATCTTACCCTCTGGTTCTAGGGCATCAGGGCAGTTTTCCTTGATAATTTCTTGAAAGATGATGTCTAGGCTCTTTTTTCAATCATGGCTTTCAGGTATTCCAATAATTCTTAAATTCTCTCTCCTGGATCTATTTTTCAGGTCAGTTGTTTTCACAATGAGATATTTTACACTTTCTTCTATTTTTTCATTCTTTTGATTTTGTTGTCTTGATGTCTCTTGCTTTTTAAATATTGTGATAACTATTTCAATCTAATTGGTTTCCTCTGTAATCCTTTGTATTTTATTTATTTAAAACTATGATTCTGAGAAAGGGCTCATAGGCTTCACTCAACTGCCCAAGGGTCCGTGACACAGAAACTCTTGGGCTTTTCTTACTGCTGCATACTATGCTGCATCCCAAGGCATTCTACTTTTTCACCTCTCTAGGCCTGTTTCCTTTTCTGTAAAATATGGATAACAAAGTTTTCCCAGCTAATCAAGGCTATTGGGGAGATCAAATGTGATCATGAATATGGAAGCATTTAAAAAAAAGTTTCAAACAGCTTCTGCTGATTGTTTTTTTTTTTAAAGGCAATTGGGGTTAAGTGGACTTGCCCAGGGTCACACAGCTAGTAAGTGTCAAGTGTTTGGTTTAAGGCCAGATTTGAACTCAGGTCCTTCTGACTTCAAGGCTGGTACTCTATCCACTGCACCACCTAGCTGCCCCTGCTGATTGTTTTTAATAATCCAAACTCTATCTCTGTACCAACTGTTGTCAGGACATAAAAGACAAAAGCCAAATAAATTCTACAAAATTTACTTCTGCACTTTTCCAAACACTGAGTTTCCTAACAGGGTTTTTGGGGAAAAAGTCAAGATGAAGTAACTTGAAACAAAGAGATATCGTGCCCTTGGTTAGGGCTCGGGAGCATGGCTGTACTCCACTTGGGAAGTGCTTTGCCTTGGGGCAGGAAAGGCTGTACAGGGGTATATCCAAAGAGCAGCTCTGAAGTTCTCCAAGTTGGGTACTGCTATGGAGAGGAGGAGCCAAGACATCTGACCAGAACAGCATCCCTCTCATTTGTGTGGTCTCCCAAAGGCATGCTAGACCTTTCCATGACACCATTCCCACTGGGAAGCCCATGTCACACTGGCACCTACATGTATGTACAAGCCATGCTCTGGGCTGCTGCCAGGTAAGAATGCCTGAGGCTACATGAGATAATCTTCTTGGCAGAGAGGGTTACAAGGAGAGGCCCCAAAATCCTTTTGGTCTGACTGTTGGGACACTTGCTTTCAAGACTCTGAAGGCTGTGAAGACCAGAGAATAAAGTGTCTTGGGCTTTCTTGCCTCATTTCTAGGGAGGCCCAGGTTCCACGATATTGGGATTTCTCAGATGCAAATTGATAAAGAAGGAGTCTAAGAGAAAGCAGAGGGACAGTAAGCCAGTCCCCAGCAGATCCCCCATCCCAGTGAGGTAGGGGATGCAGTGACTATCGGGATCCTGGGACCGGCGCCATACCAGCCTCACCATTATCTCTGCCAGGTATAGTAGGATCAGCACCTAGAGAGGGGAACAAAGACAACAGAATCATTGCCTGAGCTGGGGGGGTAGGGTCCAGGACTGGGAATGAAAACAGAAGTCAGTCAGGCCAGGAGCTGGGGGTCACCAGCTAGAGACAGAAAAATATAGTCTTGAAGCCTAAGAGACCAACGAATCCAAACAACAGCTAGGGCTGGTATAGACCAGGGGTTCTTAAGACTTTTTGGAGTTACAGAACCTGTTAGCAGCTGAACAACAGCTAAAGTTGGCATGGGATAGGCCAGGGGTCCTTTGCCTTTTAGGTCATGGACACCAATGGCAGCTGAAAATAGCTAAGGTTGGTATAGATCAAGGTTCCTATTTTTTTTTGGGTCATAGAAGCAATTAGCGACCTTGTAAAGTCTGCAGACCTCACCTCAGAATAATGTTCTGAAACGCATAGAATAAAATACAGCGTGTCTGGCACATAGGTGCTTAATAAGTGTTTGCTGACTTGACAAAGGAAACAAATTGTATTTAAATACATTTATAAAAATATAAGCACTCCTCCCCCCAACACTCACCAAGTTCATAGACCATAGGTTAAGGACCCTTGGAATATAGATATTACACTATTCAGGCACATTTCAAATAATCAACAAGTCTTTAGTTTGTGCAAGACCTATAATGGAAACACCATTTTCTACGTCAAGCCTTGCCAATTGCCAAGGTCTTGCCTCCCTAAATATATTGTGTTTATTCCAAATATACTTATATTTGCACATATCTTCTCCCTGAATAGAACATAAACTCCTTGAGAGTGAGGGATCAGAATCTAAATCTACCGACTCCCAATGCAGGGCTCTTGACTGCAGTCCATGAATCATCCAAGTGCATTTGAATAGACCAGCATTTTATGGATGGAAGGATCTCTAGCATCTACTTTACAGAGGAGTAAATTGAGCCTCAGAAAGTGGAAGTGGTTTGCTCAATATTACACAGGTAGAAAGTGGCAGAGCTGAGCCTGACACTGGGCTGAGTCCAGTGGTCTTTCTGCTATGCCACCTACTTGGCTCTCAGAGCATCAGCATCAGAATGTCTGAGCTGCAAGGGACCTAACCCACCTGTCCTCCCAGGGTAGGAATCCCCTCTATCAGAGAGGATCACCCAGCAAGTGTCTGAACACTTCCAGTGACAGGGAGCTCCCTCCGTTCTGAGGCAGGCTACTCAAGTGCTGGACAGCTCCACTGGGACTGTCGGAACTTCTTCCTTACACTCCACCTCCCCAGCACTTAGGGACAAAGATTTAGAGCGAGAAGGTCTAGAGAGGCTCTCTAGTCTTACAGTCCTATTTATAGACAAAGAAACTGAGGCCTGGGGCAGGGAGTAGGTGAAGTAACTTTCCCTAAGTCACACAGGTAGTAAGTGACAGGCAGGATTGGAACACAGAGCCTCCAACTTCAAGGATCTCAGTGGTGCTCCTTTTGCACTCTGAAATCACATGCAGCAGATCACCTTCTTCCACATACAGACATTCCTTCAGGTATTTGAAGACCACAATCACCAGTAACAGCAATAACCCCCCTGCTAGGGAAACATCCCCAGTAACCTTAGCTATCAAATGCTCCCCTCTGCAATGACTTTGTTGCGTGATGGGATTTTTCCTGTTTGGTGGGATGAGTTCTGGGGGGTGGCTCTTCTCCAGTTGGGGGAAGGGCTGCCAATACCCTGCTTTGGGACACTCATTGGGTGTCCCTGGGACTCTCCGAGGAGGGCTCTTTGTAGCTGGGGGTGAGGGGGGGTGGGGATGCCTTGAGTCAGGAGTGGAGTCTCTGGGTCCTGGCCAGATGGAGCAGTGGCCACAAGTGATGCACATTTTCCATGATTATGAGCAGCTTTATGGGGAAAAGTTCCTTGAGGGGGAAAAAAGGCAGCTGTTCTCCATAATTCTAGCTTAGCTTAAATCTGGGCAAGCAGCATTCAGGAGGAGGGGGTTCATTGTGATATATTTTCCTTTGGTTCCACAGCCGTAACATAAAAAAAGCAATCATGCATGATAACTGGGACTCCTTTGCCCTAGAAGAACGGTGGCCCGCAATCCTGTTTTTGGCTGGCTCGTCTCCTCACTCCCCCTGAATGAACCGTTTCCATTCCAGCCTCCTGGCTTTTGCTCATGCTAATTCACTATTTCTCTTGGAATGCCCTGCCCATCTCTTCTCTGCCTAACCTCCATCTTAGCCATTCTTCTGGGCACCGCTGAAGCCTCAACTCCTCCACGAAACCTTCCTGGACTGCCCTAGTTTAGTCTGCTCTTCTCTTCCACTGAGAGTCCATACACATAATTCAGCAATCACTACCTTTTTTTTTTTTAATTGGTGTAAGCTTTGTGTCTTAGATTGTAAGCTTCTGGAAGGCAGGGACCATGCTGATTTTCCCTGTAGTAATGAATAGCTGAGTGTAAATATCCAATAAAGACTTGTTTGATATTAACAGTTAACCCAATGAAACTGACTCTTTGGAGGAACAAAATTCAATTTTAAAAGCATTTATTAAGCACCTACTGTGTGCAAAGTCCTGCATTAGGCTCTGTGGGTGACAAAAAAAAGAATTAATCGAGCCCCTGTCTTTAAGGAACTTATTGTCCATTAGGGCAGATAATACAAGTACATTAATTATTAGTATATAAAGAGCTTGAGAGATCAGAGTATTATCAGAGTACAGATGGGACAGTGGTCATTTTCTGGCTGGGGGTAGGGAGCTGGGAAGGCCTTAAGGAGAAGTGGCATTTGAACTTAGCCTTGAAGGAAAAGGAGAGAGGGAGAGAAGGGGAAGGAGAAGGAGAGGGGTATGTGTTTAGATGGGGGGGGAAGTATTAGCTGTATTCTAGGTAGATATATGGCTTAAGGTGGCAGTTAGGTGGCACAGTGGATAACGCGCCCAGCCTGGAGTCAGGAAGCCCTGAATTAAAATCTGTCCTAAGACACTTCTAGCTGTGTGACCCTGGGCAAATCACTTAACCTGTTTGCCTCAGTTTCCTTATCTACACAATAAGCCCGAGAAAGAAATGACAAATGACTCCAATATCTTTGCCAAGAAAACCTCAAGTGGGGTTGTGAAGAGTCAGACATGACTGAAAAATGACTGAACAACAATATAGCATGAGAAGAAGTGTGGCTTTGTGGATACAAGGGCAGTCTTAGATTGGGACCTAGGTTCAAATCCTACCTTTGACACAGCCTGGCTTTGTGAATGAACCTCTCCTAGCAACTCCCTAAGACGAAGTTACAGATTGTATTGATGGAGGACGTTTACATATCAGACAGCTACTATACCGATGAAGTCAGGTGGCCCAGGTATGGAAGGTGGGATTCTTGTCTGCGGAACAGTTAGTAAACAGTCTAAGCCTCAGGATGGGTCGGCTGGGTGGGAAACTCAAAATCATGTGCTTGGTTAGAGCGGGGCAAAGGGGATTTTAGCCATCCATCAACCAATAAGCATTTACTAAGTGTTTACTATGTCAGTGTCTGTGCTAAGTGCTGGGGATACCAGGGAAGGCAAAATGATCCCTGCCCTTAAAGAGCACCCAGTCTAATGAAATCAGAAGCAGAATATGCCAGGGTGTCATCAGCTTAGAGTTTATATCTGGTGCCGTAAGCTTCAAGCTGAGTTCCAGGAATACACCCCATCAGACCTTCTCATATCAAATTATGTTCTACCCCAGAACAGTCCTTAGAAGGAGACCCTTAGCCAGGTGAAGTGGCCTTCATAAATCTGAGGGCCTGCCACCAGATGGGGTCTCATTCAGGATGTGTTCCATGTGCCAGGTGGCCAGGGAACACTGGGCAGAAAGCCAATTTAAATTCTAGGGGACTGAATTGGCTAGTGTGAAGTTTTAATTCGAGGAAGCTCGAGTCACCGGATGCCTCTTCCAGTGGCTGGCCTAGCATGGTGGAAACTGCCTGGCCCATTCCAAAGAATAAGCCAGACCCTGTTCTTCCAGAATCCTTCATCCTCATCACCTTGAAACTCCTTTTGTGCTGATCTCCATCATTCTGCATAACAATAATCATGGAATCACAGAATTTCAGAGTCCAAAGGGATCTCGGTGGCCACTAGGTCCAAGTTCTTAACCTTTTTTTTTTTTTTGGCACTTTGGCACCACGGATCTTTTTTCAGAATCATGTTTTTAAAATGCATAAAGCAAAATACATTGGATTATAAAGGAAGCCAATTAAATTGAAATAGTTATTAATATATTAAAAAAAGTCTACTGCCAGGCTAAGAACTCTTGCTGTAGTCTAATGTATATTAGAAAAAACCCTCCCCTATAACATACTTGACAACTGGTCATCCAATATCTGTTTGAAGGTGGACCTCCATGAGGGGCATCCATGACCTCCTCTTACATCAAGCTGACATTTGCCTCTTTGCACCTTTACCCTCACACAGCTGACATTCTACCAGGGCCAAAGGGTCCACAGGTAAGTGTAATACAGCACAGGTGTAATGGGAGCAAACCCAGAGAAGGTTTGAAGAATCTTTCTATAGGGGCTAGGGATTTGGGAAGGCTTATAATATTATACATGTATGACAGAATTCTTCAGATCCACTTATATCTGGGCTGGCTCTAGTTTGTCAACAACTGAAGACAGGGGCAGCTAGGTGGCACAGTGGATAGAGCACTGGCCCTGAAGTCAGGAGGACCTGAGTTCAAATCTGGCTTCAGACCTAACACTTACTAGCTGTGTGACCCTGGGCAAGTCACTTCACCCCAATTGCCTAAAAATTTTTTAAAAAACCACAAAAACAAAAAACTGAAGACAGTACTCCAGATGTAGCCCAGCCAGACCAGTGGACAGTGAGGTCATTCTTTCTCTTTCCCTGGACAATATTTCTCTTCTTGACACAGACTTAGAATGAATTCATTTTTTCAGGCTGCATGTCATGGATTCACATGGAGCTTGCAGGCTACTCAGATCCTCAGATCTTTCTCTGAAGTCCTGTTCTCCAGCCACTCTCCTCCAAATCCTTACCTGGGTCAAAGAAGCAACCAGATAAAAGACCACGAACAGCAGATTTATCTCCATCTCCCCTTTCTCCATCATGTAAATAAAGGAGAGGAACGTCAGATGGCCAGGGATGACCAGGAACAGCAGCACTCGGGCAGACACAGAGTTGATTTCTGTAAGGAATACAAGACAGAAGGATTGGGCCTGAGGCTGGATTAAGGAGCTGCCTTTGCTGGCAATGAACTCTATGACAGATGGATCCAAGTGTGGTTAACTTCAGCTGACACAAGGTTAGGAAGGAAAACATTCTCATAGGAAATATACCAGGGGATCAGAAGAGATGAAATTCATTGCAAGGCTCAACTTGCAGCCACAATAAGCAAAAGTAGAAAAATGTACTTTCTGGTAGCGTGTCGGGAGGTCTGAGCTCTGGCCATCACTAGCTATGCTGTGTGATCCTGGGCAAGGCATCTTTTTTTTGGGGGGGGGGTTGTCGAACTCTACCTGGAAGGCAGTAGCACTTTCTGGCAACACTCAAAGCTGGCCCCACCCCCACCCCTATGATCACCAGCACCCAGCCAGAACACACTCAGGCATTGAGAAGGGGATCAGAGCTTTGGTAGGAATGGGGCTTGGCGTTTCTATCCAGGCCTAAATTCCTGCCATTTCCCCAATCCTGCATCTGATCTTGAAGCAGCATGGTAGAACACTGGACTCGGAAAGACCTGAAATCCCACCTTAGGCACTTAGCAGCTGTGAGCTTTGGGACCCTGGGTAGTGAATACATTCTTTATTTAATCTCTTTTCCCTTTGGGAGAGAGGTATAATGTAGCAGAAAGAGGGCAGGGTTGAGAGCTCAAGATTTGCCCCCATGCTTATCCTCTTGGCAGCTCTGGGCAAGCTGCAATTTATTTTATACTCAAATACGAATGACATACCTTATGCCTTTTTTCCTGCAAGAAGGCCTTGTTGGGAGGATAGAAGAAGACAGCTGGCATTGAAAGAGGAAGGGAGGGGTGTCAAAGAGAGCTACCAGAGTCTTAGGCAATAACAGGGGTCAAAGTTGGCTGACCTTGAAACTTTACTGCGTGCACTTATGCCTACCCATGAAAGTCATATGCCAATGACTCATTACTTTAAAGCCAAAAGTTTACCAATGTAATGACCTGCCTGGACTCACCTGAAGAACAGAACGTAGAGCCTGGATCAGGGAAGAAGCTCCTCATATTGTGTGGCAGGACTCCAGGGGAACTCCAGGAATACAGGTAGGTAGAGATCCGGCTGGCCTGGATAGACACCAGGTTACCACCAACACCTAGAAGACAACTAAGTCTTGACTCTCTATCTCCCTCCTCTTCCCCTCCCCCTCCTCCTCCTTCTCTCTCTCTTTCTATTTCTCTCTCTTCCTCCTCCTCTTTCTTGTCTCCTCCTCCTCCTCCTTTTTCTCTTTCCCTTCCTCCTCTCTCTCTTCCTCTTCTCCTTTTTTTTCTTCTTCTCTCTCTCTGTCACACACACACACACACACACACACACACACACACACACACACACACACATACACACAGATACACATACACACGACTATAGCTATTTAAGCCTTACCCATCACTCAAGGTCCAGATCCAGGTTGCCTCCTCCCGGAAGCCTTCCCCAAGTGCTTTAGTGCTCAGGGGGCTCACCCTTTTTAAAGCTGCTTTGTATGTTATGGTTTGTCTGGATCACCCATTTTGGCCCTTAGGATATACAGTCTCACACTTGAGCTAATTATTTCATGCATATACTTTTAATTTTCCCAGACAGACTGTAAACTCCATAAGGGCAATTAATGTTACTTATATTTCCTTTGTGGGAAGCCAAGTGGCACCATAGTACACAGAGCGCCAGGCCTGGAGTCAGGAAGACTTATCTTCCTGAGTTCAAATGAGGCCTCAGACATTTACTAGCTGTGTGATCCCAGGCAAGTCACTGAATCTTGTTTGCCTCAGTTTTCTCATCTGTAAAATGAGCTGGAGAAGGAAATGGCAAACCTTTCCAGTATCTTTGCCAAGAAAACCCCAAAAATGGGGTCATGAAGAGTTGGACATGACTGAAAATGACTGCAAAACAACATGTTTCCTTGGTATCCCCTAAAGTCTCTAGTATAGGGCCTGATAAAGCAGGAGTTCAAAAATGCCTGTTGAATGGATGAATTTGATTCAATTCACCAAGCACTTACGAAATATTTACTACTATGTGCTAGGCACCATGCTGGCACTGGGGAAACAGACAAAAAAAAGAAACACTCCTTGTCCTCAAGGAACTTATGTTCTATTGGGAGGAAACAACATGGCGGCAGCTGAGTACAAAGTAACTGGAGGGCACTAACATTTGGTGGTATCAGGAGAAGCTTCTTCATAGGAGTTCAAGCCTAAGGGAGATGGGGATTCCAAGGGATAAGGAGAGAGCCTTCCAGGCATGGTGGACGGCTGTGTGCAAAGGCACCAAGGTAGGAGATGTTTGGAATTTGGAATTTGGTGAGTCAGTTTGGATGGAATGAAGAGCATAGTGGGTGGAGTATGTCAGTAAAATGAGTCTGGAAAGAAGTTGGAGCCAGAGGGTGATCTGCAAGTCTATGAGTCTATATAACCCTGCTCAGTGATACTTATGGAAGACATGGCCCAGCCGGAATGGAATGTAGATTTCCATGGAATTCTGCCCTCCTGGCTGGTGGGAGAATTGTAGTTCCAATTAGGTGTTACTCAGTGAGGTCATTTTACAGTCGTGCACTGCTAAGCAGGACAGGGTTCTCAGGAATGCTCGCCTTCACATGGGGTCTTCTCATCCTAGAAGGTCTCAGCAGCTGGACTGTTTGAGTTAAGCTCCTGCCCAAGCAGTCCCTGTAAAGCTTGGGTGTCCAGAGGTCCGAAAAAGGCCCTGGGTGTCAGGATCCCACTAGGCATGAATAGATTTGGCTAATTCCATAAGGAAAATTTAGAGCCCCCTAAGGCAAACAGATCCCTACCCAGGGTTTACTGATAGTAGAAAACATCAAATTAAAATTATTTTTATTGTATTATATTTTTATTTATTTTGTTAAACATTTCCAGATTATACTTTAATTTAGTTTGGCAGCATTCTCCAGCTCTTAGTCTGATACCTCTGCTATTACTATGGCATTTATATGCCATAGTTTGGCTAAGCCCCATAAACTCATTCACTGGGGATTAGTTCCTGCTATGGGGAACCCCAGAAAGGCGTTGAGAAATGGAACTAGGGAGGAAGTCTCTGACATCAGCCACCATTTACCTCTCCAGATCAAGTGAAATACTACCTAAGCAGTCACTGCAAGAGGCTGGAGATGGATTTATTTGTGCAATTAAATGAGGCTGAGTGGTCCAGGAGTTTCTGATGAGGTCTATCAGAACCAGGAACAGGACCACAAGCCTCACAGATGAAAAGAACACAGATGAAAGGAAAGAAAAAGCTCTAGATTTGGAGTCAAAGATCTGGATGTCAAACCCTGCCTCTGGCGTTTACTCCTAGCTCTTTGACTTTGGGCAAGTCACTTGAGTTCTCTGGGCCTCAGTTTCCTCCCCTGTAAAATGAGGTTGCACCAGATTTTTGAAAAATTAACAAGCATTTATTAAGCGTCTATTACGTGCCAGGCACTGGGCAAAGCGCTTTATAAATATTACCTCATTTGATCCTTACGACAGCCTTCGGAGGGAGGCGATGTTATTATTCCCATTTTGCAAATCAAAAAACTGAGGCAGACAGAAGTTAAATGACTTGCTTGGGGGTCACACAGCTAGTAAGTCTGAAGCTGGACTTGAGCTCAGGTCTTCGGACTCCCTTCCAGCACTCTGTGCACTATGGCGCCCCCTAGTTGTCCCCAGTAGACTGGATCTCTCGTGCTCCTGTCTAGCTCTACAGATCTCTGCTATGCTACTGACTGAGTGTGTGAGTTAGCAAGTGATAATTTTTCTGTGTCTCAATTTCCCTCTCTGAATAATGAGGGGGTTGGACTAGGTCAAGGGTGGGGATCCTGCAGCCTTAAGGCCACATGTGGCCTTCTAGGTCCTCAAGTGTGCCCCTTTGACTGAATCCAAACTTCACAGAACAAATCCCCTTCATAAAAGGATTTGTTCTGTAAAATTTGGACTCAGTCAAAAGCTGCACCCAAGGACCCAGAAGGCCATATGTGGCCTAGGTTCCCTATCCCTGGACTAGGTGATCACCATGGTCCTTTCAGAGTCTAAATCAATCAATCAGTCAACAAACACATATCACATGACAGCTACAAAGAAGAAACCTAGCCTCAAGGAACTTATGGGTAACTGCAGCTCAGGCAGCTGCTAAAGAAACCCTGCCTTCTTCAGTTAGATTGACAGAAAGGCTCACCCACCATTTATCACTGGAGTGAAGACAGCCATCAAATTGATCTTTTGCTCAGTTATGCTTTTGGTGAAGATGAGCCCACCAAGACTGGAAAAAGAAACCGTTAAGGACAAGCATTTCATAGACTGTTTGTACACCCAAGGGATGGGATCTCTAGCATTTTAACTGTGGCGTTTTCATGGCTACTACTTCATCATCTATATTATCTTCTCAGCCTGCCTGGGAAGCCTCACCTCCCACTCTTCCACAACAGAATTCCCCTGCCCCAGCTGCTCTCTACAGTGTCTCCAGAATGTGTCTCGCATTCTATTTACCTTAGCTCATTTCTCATCTCCTCTAGAAATTCAATTCAACAAGTTTTTGAAAAGTGTCCATTCAATACTTAATATACTAGGCTCCATGCTAAGCCCTAGGGATACAAAGAGAAAAAAAAAGCCAGCCCCTACCCTCCAGGAGCTTACATTTTACTGAGAATAAGTCACCAGTAAGCAGATAAGAAAATACAACGTGTCTACCAAGTAATCTTAGGAGAATGGTGGGGAAGGGGCACTAAAACTAGAGGTGGGTTGAGATGAAGAAATGCCTCTAGTAGAAGGTGGCCTTTGAGCTAAGCTTTGAGCAAGGCTAGGGATTTGGGGATGGAAATTTGAGGAGGGAGTGAAGTTCAAGAAGGGAGGCTTTCTGGGCAAAGGCACAAAGGAAAACAGATGTGACGTCCTGCATGGAGAACATCGACTAAGTCAATTCATCTAGAATCTAGAGTGTGAGAGGGAAAGTAACATGAACTCAATCTGGAAAGCTAGACTGGAACCAGATCACAATGGGCGCTGAATGCCAGGAGAATTTTTATTTTACCCCAGAGCCAACAGAGAGCCAGTGAAGAATCTTGAGTAGAGAAGAGATTTGGTCCATCCATTTGGCAGCTATGGGGATTGGAGAAGCTGGATGCAAGGAGACCGAGCTGGAGTGTGTTGTGGGAGTCCAGGTAAGAGGTAATGAAAGCCTGCACTCTGCTGGTAACCATGTGAGTGGAGAGACAGGGACAGGTGGGAGAGATAGTGTAGAGGGAGAAAAGACAAGACAAAAAACTGACTGGATATTATTGGAGGGGGCAGTTTCAGTCAAGGGGTGGGGTGAGAAGCTGGACAGGGAGTCCCTAAGAAGTGAGTGGGAGGGGACAGCTAGGTGGCACAGTGGATAGAACACCAGCCCTGGACTCAGGAGGACCTGAGTTCAAATCTGGCCTCAGACACTTATTAGCTGTGTGACTCTGGGCAAGTCACTTAACCCCAATTGGCTAAAAAAAAAAAAACCCCAACAAAAAAAGAAGTGAGTGGGAGATGAGAAAGAAGAAGCAATAAGTGTAGACACAAAGCCTTCAGAGACCACTTTCTAGCATAGGGTGACCCTTCTCCCCTGGTCCAATAAAGAGAATCAGAGATTGTTAGAGCTGAAAGGGACCATCGATTCAGAGCTGTGACTTGTGTGTATGGTCCAGTCTACAAAGAGAATATTTTAACTGAGACCTCGATCAACATTGGTATAAATTCATAGAATCTGGCCTCAGACACTTATTAGCTGTGTGACTCTGGGCAAGTCACTTAACCCCAATTGGCTAAAAAAAAAAAAACCCAACAAAAAAAGAAGTGAGTGGGAGATGAGAAAGAAGAAGCAATAAGTGTAGACACAAAGCCTTCAGAGACCACTTTCTAGCATAGGGTGACCCTTCTCCCCTGGTCCAATAAAGAGAATCAGAGATTGTTAGAGCTGAAAGGGACCATCGATTCAGAGCTCAAAGGGGCCCTAGAGGACATTTGTTCCAATCTCCTCCTTTTATAAGTGGGCAGATTGTGCCCCAAGAAGGCGCAATGTCTTGCGCAAGGTCATAAAGGTAGTAAGTGGCACAGCCACGGTTCAAACCTATATCCTGGGACCCCAGTCATTCTTCTTCCCTCTACACCAACCACTTGGCCCTCTGGATAAAGGACAATTTATTATTTCAGTGACAATTAAAATAGGTTTCACATACCTCTATGGATTAGGCTAGATTTTTTTTGCCTACAGTTGAATGATTTAATAACCCCTGCCTTCAGTGAGCTTATATTCTAACGGAATGGGCAAGGGGGATAAAACATATATGCAAAGGGAGATTCAAGTTCAACCCTCTCTTCTATAGATGGAGAGAAGGGAGATGACTTACTTAAGGTCACACAGGAACTGGGACTGGACTCCAAGTCTCCCGACTTCTAATACTGTGCTCTTTCCACCATACCACACTGATTCTGTACTATTTCTTCTGTTATCATGAAACTCAGGGAAGCAAGAGGCATTAGCTCTCCACTACTCCACCCTCGACTCTGCAAGCCCCGAATAGGGGGACTGGCTGTTGTAGACAGCTGGAAGTTCAGGGAAGCTTCCGCCTTACTCTGATCGTCATGTGCCTACCAATGTCCCAGTTCTAAAGAACAGGCAGAGGCCAATGGTCTCCTTGGGGCCCAGATAGCAAATGCTCATAATGCAAGACTCTGAACATCCCCTACATGTCATCATTTAGTCTCGGTTTAGATGTTTCCAAGGACAGGAAACTCACTAGCTTTTGGGTAGTTTGTTCTTTGTTGGACAGCTATCACTGTTGAAGTCTCCCCTATATGAAGCAGAAATCTTCCTCATTGGGACTTCTATCCATTGGTTTTGATTCTTTTTCCTAAAGCCACTTGGAACAAGTCAAATCTTTCTGCCACATGGATGGCCTTCACATATTTGAAGAGGGCACATGTATCTATCCACTAACTCCTTACCTCCCCCATGCTCCAGGTCATCTTTTCTCTAGGGAAATATTCTCAAGTCCTTTCATCATTTCTTTTATGATGTTTATTACCTGTGTGACCTTGAGCTCACTTATGTCTCAGTTTTCTCATCTATAAAATAAGCTTTAAATCTAGGAGGCTATGGTTCTCAGACACTATTTTCTGGGCACACTTCTGTTCATGAATGTTCCCTTAAAAACATATACCTAGAATGCAAGAGAACACTCCAGTTGGGCTCTGACTAGGGAAGAGAATAGCAGGACTAATGCCTCCCTCGAGAGACATATTACATAGCCTAATGTTATCTTGTTTTTTATGAGCAGCCCATTCACTCCTATGGGCTCCTTTTGAACTGATTACTGTTCTTTTTAACATGTGATGGCCTATTTTATGGTTTTTATGTTTAGTTATTTTTATAATGAACACATATATTTAATTTGTAAATATATAAATAGAGCCCACTGATAATTAGAGCTATTCAGTAATGAACAGGCTGCTCCAGGAAGTCATGAGTTCCTCTTTACTTAAGGTACTCAAGTACGTAGCTCTTTGTGGAGAACACTGCGGAAGAGAGAATTCTCAGGGTAGGAGCTGGCCTAGGTATAATCTTAGGCACCTCCCACTTCTGGGATTCTGTTGATTCTATGAATTTATACCAATGTGGATCGAGGTCTCAGTTAAAATATTCTCTTTGTAGACTGGACCATACACACAAGTCACAGAATTTCAGAGTTAGAAGGGATCCGCAGAGATTACCTAGCCTGACTCACCTTTGCCTGAGAATCCGTTATACAACATCTCCAACAGACTGCCATCCAGCCTCTAGGATGGGCAATTCATCACTTCTCTGAGAAGCAGCCCATTCTGGTCTTGCCTTAATTGTTACAAAACATCATTGTCTCTTACATTGGGCTAAAATCTACCTTTCTGCCACTTGACCTGCGGCTCTAAGTTCTCGTCTGGCAGAAAAGGTCCAAATGACCATTTCTCGAGGGCCCCTTCCATGATCACTTCGCTCCTGGCCCAGCTTACTGTGTTCTCCACCTCCTTGCCGGCATCCTTGCCCCTATGTGGATACCTTCTACTTCCCTCTCCCCCACCCTAGTTTTCCATCTCCTCTTTCTGTAGTATCTCTCCCTTAGAATGTAAGCTCTTTGAGGGCAGGGACTGCCTTGTTTGTTTGTACTTGTATCCCTAACACTTAGCACAATGCCTTGCACATGATAAATGCTTAATAGATGATCAATTTGTTTACCTTACTCTTCTTTTCCAACATGCCTTCTGATACTTGAAGTCTGCTCTCAAATCTCCCGTCTCCCTCATGACCCTTAGTTTTCCCTTCTCTCAGCTGAACAGCCCCACTTCCTTCCATGAAGACTCATATGGTAAAGGAAGTTTGCATCATGATCAACTAAGTTTTTTTATACTAGTAAGAAACTTTTATTAATCTTCAATATTAGCATTTTAAATCTTCTAATAATTTTCAATTGTTAGAATGAAAAAAATTTAAGGTCAAAATGAAGTTATCAAAGCATTTATATGACGAGAGGAGGAGGAGGGAAACAGGAAGAAAATCCAATCCCCAAAGGTCGAGTGAGTATGCTAGATATGGTGGCAGCTTTTATGAAGGTTTATTTAATCCAGTTGCTCGGCCAGAGCAGTCTATGGGGCTGCTTCTGACCCCAGCAAATCCTCATGCAGTCTGTGTTTTGGATCAGAGAGAGGGCCCACAATGCTCCAGTACCAGCGGAGAGGTAGGATAGGGGTAGGGCTCTCATTTAGGAAGGTTCTTCCTCTCCAAAATTCAGCTATCAACTCCCAGACGGAGTGACCTGGGTCTTTCCTTGTTCTTACCTGCTGATTAACATGGCTGTGATGATGGGAAACCAGCCTGTCTTCAGTACTTCGGTGATGGTGGGGCTCTTCTTTATTATGAAAATCCATATTGGGATCAGGGAGAAGAAGAAGAAACAGATCACTGGGAACAGGTAATACAGGTCTGGCAAGAGAGAGGAGATGCACGTCCCATGTTAACATGTGATTGTAGAATAAAAGCTTGTTGAAGGCAGGGGCTCCCTGCTCTCTGTCTCTGTATTCCCAGTACCTGGTATACAGTAGGAATTTAATAAATGTTTTGTGAAACCAAGGCCTTTCCTGATTACCCCTTCTCTCCCTCCCTCTTCCCAGGGCTTTCCTTCCCCTCTGAGGTTACCTTCTGCTACTCCATATGTGTCTTGTACGCCGATGTTTATTTATATGCCTCCCACATTAGACTCCCAGCTCAGGGCAGGGACTATTTTCACCCTTCTTTGTATTCTCAGTGCTTAGCACAGCAGTCAGAAATGCTTGTTGATGGACTGATGGATCACAATGTCTAAGAAACTTGGCTTTGGAGAAGAATTAAGAGAATGCTCTTCCTCTTGAAGAGGTGGGGGACTATGGGTATGGAATACTGTATATGCCAGACTCTGCTGGTATGTTAGGTTTTTTTTGTTTGTTTTTGCTAGGCAATGGGGCTAAGTGACTTGCCCAGGGTCACACAGCTAGTAAGTGCTATGTGTCTGAGGCCGGATTTGAACTCAAGTCCTCCTGAATCCAGGGCCGGTGCTCTATCCACTGCGCCACCTAGCTGCCCCATATGTTAGTTTTGATGAGCAGCTTTTTTCCTCTTTTTTTTTTTTTTTGGTGAGGCAACTGGGGTTAAGTGACTTGTCCAGAGTCACATAGCACTGGCTGTATTATGTTTTGTGTCCGAGTCCAGATTTGAACTCAGGTCCTCCTAACTTCAGGGCTGGTGCTCTATCTACTGTGCCACCTAGCTGCCCCTTTCCTCTCCTTTTTTATTCTTTGTTACAATGATTAGCTCTTTGGTAATGAGTGGAGCAGGGATATAGCTGGGGATGAAGGTGATATAAAAATAAGGGATATCAACAATTTTTAAAAAGGCAATGATGCTTAATCGTTTGATTAAAATGGGCCAGGGGCTCAGGTAGGATGCTGGCATACTGATCAGCAACTTCTTCCTACCTGTGTGACTTTGGGCAAGTTTCTTGGCCTTTCTGGGCCTCAGTTTCTGTATCTATAAAATGGAGGGTTAGGATACTTTCTAAGGTCCCTTCCAGCCTTACATCCAGCAGTTCTTGGTATGAATTCTCCTTGCAGAGTGGAAGCCTCACTGAGACATCAGGGTTGGGGCTAGTCTTCATTTCTGGACTCAGCTGCCTCCTAGATAATTTATTTTCTCTTGTTGCCAAAAAGCCTCCATCCTAACCCTGGGCCTGAGGCTCCAAGCCTGTTTCAGCGAGATGAGTTCATTGGAGGGAGAGAGACTGAGTCATGAGCCTGAGGTCCCAGGGGAGGGCCACTGGACAGAGCAGCTGGGCCTCTCGACCCGATTCTCAAGCCTTGAAGGCTGGTTTGCCTTAGACTTGGCAGTCTCAAGATGAACACAACCTTGCTTTTCTTTCTGCCGAGAGGTAACCATTGGCCTTGGATGTTTAACAAAAAGCTCACAGAGCGTCTCAGCAAAAACTCCTTAAAAGCACCCTTCCCTCTTAGAAAGACCTGGAAAGGCCCCTAGAGGTCATCTAGTTACAGTCATCTTGTTTTCCAGATGAGGGCAATGAGGCCATGCTGTCTCTCATTCAGGGAAGGAGCATTTTTCCTCTTCAGGATGAAGAGATTGGAAATGGGGTGCTGGGATGATGACCAGTGGCTTGTTACCTATGGGATGCTGGGCCAAGTCATTTCAACTTTGGTGGGGGGGCGCCTTAGTTTTCTCATCTACAAAACAAGGTGGTTGGACAACAAGATCCCCGAGATCCCTGGCGGCTTTTAAATCCCATGATCACATAATATACCTGGAGACAAGAGCTTTTCCTTACACCATGAACCCCATTTCTCCCCAATCCCTTATTTCTGAATGCAGAACCCTCTGTCTCAGAAAGTTTTTCCACGACAGACTAGATCATTCACTACCTTAGTACAGTTGCTACAATATTTCCCCCCATTTCCTTAGGAGAAACCCTCTCATTTTACAGACGTAAATATACGAGGTGCCCAGAATCAAACAGGCTTAGCAAGGTGGAAGGATCTGCCCACAGTCACACAGGTAGAAGGCAGCAGAACCAGGGTTCCCAGCCAAACCCTCCAACTCCAAAGCTAGGACTCTTTCCTGTATAGAATACTGCCATCCATATCCTTTTAACAGTCGTTTAGCAACCTGCGACATCCCTGGTTTAGGTCATATCTCTTCTTCCAGCACAGGACACAACCACTCCCCATCTCTGTGCCTAGGCTCATGCTGTTATCGCCCACTTGGTACGCCCTCCTCCCCTTCTCTAATTTTCCCACAGTTTTTCAAGGTCCAGCTTAAATGACACTTCCTCCATGAAGCTTTCCCTGATCTCCCCTGTCAGAGATGTGCCTCCTTTCTCTGGGAGAGTTATGTATCGGCTTTAGGAGGCATCCTATTTGTATTTGGACTAGAAAGCATTACCTTCTGTGTACTTTTCTTATCTCTCCCCTACTGGAAACTTTAAAATGTTTTACTGATGTCTTTTGTCTTTAAATCAGCCATTTGAAATACCTCCTCCTACTGAACCTTCCTTTGTGACAAAGAAAAACAATTCAGCAAAACCATTTGATCCAGTGACCACAGCTGATGATATATGTCCCCAGAACTCTCTGCCTCTCTAGGTAAAGGGGAAGGTATAGTTCTGGAACCCAATTCCCAACCTGGCTGAGTTTCCTTCTCTTAACTTCTTACGTGAAGTTATACTTTTCTTACTCACTCTCTCCCAGCTGGCCCACTAGACCTGGAGTCAGGAAGACCTGAGTTCAAATCCAGCCTCAGACATTTACTAGCTCTGTGACCTCAGGTAAGTCACTTACCCTCTGTCTGCCTCAGTTTCCTATCTATAAAACTGAAATACTTACAGCACCTACCTACCAGGGTTGTTGTGAGGATCAAATAAGATAATATGGCTAAAACACTCAGCTCAGTGCCTGGCACAAAGTTGGCTCTATAGAAATGCTTATTCTCTTCCCCTTCCCCATCCACCCAGGTGCCTAGCACCTAGTACCTAGTACATTAATGTTTGCAGGAGGAATGAATTATCTGTCCCCTTTCTGACCCTCTCCAGTACATATTGTCTATATCACACATGTTAGCAATTGATCACTGGCTCTTCTATATCATTGTTCTCACTGTCATATGTGTTTCTCATTACCCTTCATATCTCATTGAAATCTGCCATCTCTGAAAAATGAATAAGCATTTATTAAGCACTTATTGTGTGCAAAGCAGTGCCTACCAAACTGTGCCCAGATGTGGGGCAGAGCAGCCTGAGCCTAATCGCTCTTCTGCCTGACAGCCCCTTAAATACTTGAAGACAGTTCTCACGTCCCCAGTCTTCTCTTCTCCAGGCTAATGATCCCCCAGTTCCTTAGCCTTCTCTTCCCATGCTGTAATCTCAGGCTGTTTGCCATCTTGGTTCCCCTTCTCTGGATAGCCTTCAGTTTATCATTGTCCTTATCATTACCATTGTGGGACTATCTTCTCTCTCCTTGTGGGCCCTAAGCCTCTCAGTGCACCCCAGGATCACAGGGCTGCAATGGAATCCTCTTAATGCTCTCTGAAGCACAAAACAGAGACCAGTTCTTTCTCCCAGCAGGGATGGGGAGGGGGAGGGAGGAGTGGAGATCAGGGCTGGGAGAGAAAATTGGCAGCAGGAATTGGGGAGAGTGGGGAAGGCAGTTCGTGGGAACAATAATGAAGAGAAGCCCTCACTTGTCTTGCCCCCAGAGGGTTAAGTCAAGTGGGCTTGGCATTGAGACAGGCCCCAAAGTCTCCATGTCTTGGGTGATAACAGTATGCCTCTTGGATCGGTTTTCATGCTTGTTTCCAAAAAGTCCTCACTATAACCCTGGGCCTGAGGCCCCAGCCTGGCTTTGCAGAAAAGCAGAGGGTGGAGAGAGATGCTGAGCCTCAGGTCCTAGAGGAAAAGCCACGGCCTGGCTTTGGCACAGACATAGCAGAGAAACGACATTTGACAACTTGGAGGGTTCTCGGAGAAACGACATTTGACAACTTGGAGGGTTCTCGATGTGTCCACTGGGAGCCAATGAAGGGCTCAGGGTGACTGGCAGCCTTGGGGATTCGGGGGGGCTGGTCTCTTCTGGCATGGGAGTTAATGTGCCACAGCTGGCTTTGTTTCTGCTTTGAGCTGATCACTGGCTTGGCTACCCTATAAAAAGCTCTCAATTCCTCAGTGGAGTCTAATGGAAAAACTTTCTGTCACAGGGGTCGTTTTTCCTAGGGCAGGAAAACTTCAGGGGGTGGAGGGAAGGCAGGGAAAGCAGTGCTCTGCAGTCTTATGGCCCAGGAGTGCTCCCCCACACCCCTACCCCCAAGTCTTCTGTAGCTACACTACTGAGTTCACTGATCACAGAGGCAGACAAAGTGAAAAACCATCCAAGAGGTGGGGAGAGATTCGAGGGACTCTGGGATGGTGCCCCAGAGAAGAGGAACTCTAAGAACTGGAAGGAGGCAGAGATCACTACTCTGGAGGCTTCTGTGTGTGTGTGTGTGTGTGTGTGTGTGTGTGTGTGTGTGTGTGTGTGTGTGTGTGTGTGTGTGTGTGCGCGCGCGCAGGGGACTTTGATTCTAGTTGTAGCTTTGCTATCTTCACCTTTCTGGGCCTCAGTCTCTTCACCTGTAAAAGGAGGGAGTTGAATGATATGGTCTCTTAGGCCCCTTCCACCTGTGACAATCTACATTCTAAGGCTCCTTCTATCTCTGACATTCTTTTCTAAGGCCCCTTTCAGCTCTGACATGCTATGTTCTAAGGCCCCTCTTAGTTCTGACATTGTGTTCTAAGGTCCCTCCCAGCTACAACATGCTGTGTCCCGAGGTCTCTTCCATCTCGACATTCTATGTCCTAAGGTTCCTTCCTGCTTTAACATGCTGTTTTCTAAGGTCTCTTCCAGCTCCGACATTTCTGGTTTGTTTCTAAGTCCCTTTCGGCTCTAATACACTAGGATTTTAAAATATGAGGCAGGGGAAGCCCCTGGAAGGTTTAAGTGTAGCTACTAAGATACTATCTTCTAGTTCAACCACTTGAGAGGCCATCTTTAAACGGGGCAGTTCAGATGGCAGTTTCTTGTAAAAGTTCAGTTAGGGATAACTCTAAAAAATGGAGAGAAAAGGGGCAGAAATATAGTATTCAACAAGACCCCAGGGAGGGGGTGGCTCATAAAACCTGTGGTTTACTTTCTGGGCAGCTGTATCACATGGCCTGTAATCGCCACCTTATTATGGAGAAGAGGGTACGCTCTAGTTGTTCCATACCATCTTCTGATAGGCTGATTTTATATTAAATATTTTCTCTTCTGGGCTCAGTTCAAGAGTCATTTCCTCCCTGAAGCTGACCTTGGGGCCTTGATTGACTCTTCCTCCCTTGACCTTAGACAAGAGATTTTTCCTCCCTGGGACCTCAGTTTCCTCATTCACCATCATTACAACCAGCCTTGGAGTCAAGAAGGCCTGGGTTCAAGTCCTCTGTGACCATATACTGACTCTGTGACCTGGTCAATCACTTAACCTCTCACTGCCCCAAGCAACTTCCTGTGACTCTATTACTCAAGGAAGATGCTGATTTACAGTGGCAGAGGACATGCCTTTCACATTTATGAAATAATAGGTTTGGTTGTGAAAAAGATATTTTGTACAGGGCTTAGAGGTTTCAAAACACTTTGTACATTATCTCATTTGACCTTCCCATCTTCCCGCATCCCTCTTCCCCCATTAAGTACTACATGTATGATTCCCAATTACAGATGGGGAAACTGAGGCTCGGCTATGCCTCACACAGAGCCATGTAGCTATAGTTATATATATAGACACTACAGTTAAGTGTCTAAGGCAGGATTTGAACTCAGGTTATCCTGATTCCTACCCCAATGCATTATTAGGCAGCTAGGAGAGTGTTCTGTAGAGTCAGGACATATTTTTATTCTGTTTTCAGTTGTTTCAGTCATGTCTGACTCTTCGTGACTTCATTTGGGGTTTTCTTGGCAAAGATACTGGAGTGATCTGCCATTTTTTTCTCAATTTACCGATAAGGAAACTGAAGCAAAAAGGGTAAGTGACTTGCCCATGGTTACACAGCTAGTATCTGAGGCCATATTTGAACTTGGGAAGATTAAATCTTCCTGACCGCTGGCCCAGCACTCTATTGAGTACACCACCTAGCTGCCCCAGAGTCAAGAAAACCCAATTCAGATTTAGATAGTAATTTACTAATGACCTTGGGCACGTCACTTAACCTCTATTTTTCTCACCTGTAAAATGACGCTCATAACAGCATTTACCTCCAAGGGTTGTTGTGATGATCAAAGACAATATTTGTGAAGTGCTTAGCACTGTGCCTGGCACATAATATGGACTAAATGCTTTTATCATTACTATTATCTTGTTTCACCATACCATACTACCTCTCTATGAAATGAGGGGGTTAAATTGATTAGACAGACTCAGAGCTGGTTAGATGGTTAGATTCAGAGAGTAATTATTAACAGTGCAGTGTCAACACTGGGGAAGGTTTCCAGTGGAGCAACCCTGGGATTCTACTTGGCTTACCATTTTTATCAATGACTTGGCTCATTGGCCAAAGGCATCAACCTCATGTTTAGCTTGGAGGAAAGAAGAATTAGGGGGGAATGAAAACTGTCTTCAGGTACTTGAAGGGCTGTTGGCTAGAGGGAGGATTAAGCTTGTTTTACTTGGTTCCAGAGGGCCAAGGCAGAAGCAATGAGAGGGATCTAGAAGGAGGCACAGGAGAGCAGCACTGAAGTCAGGAAAGCCTTCCTAGCGAGTAAAGCTATCAGAAGTGGAATGGCTGGCCATGAGAGATGGCAGGCTTCCCCTCTTTGGAGCTCTCCAAGCAGAAGCTAGATGACCCCTTGTCAAGTATACACAGTGGGAATTCTTTCCTGTAGGGGCTGGACAAGATGGCCGCTGTGGTCCCTCGGGACAGTCTGCATTGATGAGGCTGCCATTGCTCAGGGCATTGGGGGGGCAGGGAGTCCCTTAGCCTCCCCGGGCCTCAGATTCCTACCTATAAAATGAGGGAATTGTGTCAGATGGTTTCTAAGGGCCCTTCCAACTCTAAAACCCCAGAATTCCAAGAACCCATGATTCCTGTCGGGAATTGCCTTTGGACCTAGGTTCTAAGCAGCACCAGAAAGTCAGTCTCATTTTTTTCTTTTTTGTCCCATTTTTTTAAATAGCTATGTGTATACTGTTCTAAAGACTCCATGTATACAGCATGTACTGTTTCTTCAACCAGATTATAAGTTTCTTTAAGGCACAGACTGCGCCATATTCTCTGGATTGATAACAACAATAACAATAATCATAGCCAGCATTTAAGTTTTGCTAAGCACTTTACAAATATCTCATTTTTCCTTCCCCAAATCCTGGGAGGTGGGTGCTATTATTATCACTATTTTAGAGATGAAGAAACTGAGGCAGACAGAGGTTAAATGACTTGCCCAGGTCACACAGGTAGTAAGTGTCTGAGGCCACTTTTGAACTCAGGCCCTCCTGATTCCTGGTCCAGCACTCTACCCCCAACACCATGCCGAGTAGATGTTCAAGAAGAATTTTAAAAATACGTATAAATTAATGACATGCTTCTTGGGAGAAAGAAACTGCATCTTGCAACAGAGCCTCCCTTGGAAGCTTTGAAGACTGAGTCTGGGCTTAAAAATAGAGCAAGCTCTCTGGAATTTGCCCCACTTTCCTCCTTGATTTCTGGGACCTTGTTTCTTCTCGTGGTAACATATCCAGTTCCCCTTCTCAGAATTCTGTGGGAGGCTGTCATGTGATTTACAACACAGTGAGAAAGCTTAGGACAACAACTCCAAACACTGAAACCAAACAGATAAGAACCAATATGCTTCCCATGTTTTGTCACAGAGAAGAAGTTAATCTAAGCAGAACTTGACCTGGGTTCAAATCCCATCTGGGGTCATCTCTTATCTGAAAATGAATTCACCCAATTATCCCCTTTTGAGCCCTCAGGATCAGGGGCCCTAGTCTTATTGAAGTAAAGGTAATGTTAATGAAGTAAAGTAATGTTTAGCCTAGGGAAGAGAAGATTTGAGAGGACATAGTAGACCTGGTGTCACCATAAGGAAATAACTTCATCTCCCTGGGCCTTGGTTTCCTCATCGACAAACTGGGAGTGATGGGGAGCATTGTGTGGACTAGGTTGACCTCTAGAGGTTCCATTCCAGCTCTAGGACTGTGCTCCTAAGATTTATAGAACTGAGTCCAGAACCAGAGTTGGGACATGCCTCAGTGGCCACATAGAATAGCTCAACACATACCTGAAAAAGGAACTCCTCTCTAAAGGGTCATTCAGCCATCACTCAAACATCTCCAGTGAGAGGAGACCTTCTCAGGTAGCCCATTCCACTTCTGGATAAGCCTGATTATCAGAAAAAATCCTCCCTCTATGAAGTCTACATTTCCTTCTTTGTAATGTCCATCCATTGGTCCCAGTCCTGCTAGCGTCAACAATTCCAATCCCTTTTTCACATATCAGACTTTCAAGTTCTTGAAAACATCTACTGTGTCCTCTCAAATCTTCTCTTTCCTAGGTTAAACATTCCCCATTACTTCAACAAGACTAGGGCTCCTGATCCAGAGGGCTCGAAAGGGAAAACTGGGTAAGACAAGAGATGACCCCAAATGCACATTATCTGGTTTCAGTTTCTGGCCATTCCCTTTTCCCCTGGGGGATGGGCTCTGGTGATCTGCCAGGCAATTCTGAACACGTGGCTATTACAGTACATGATGGAATGAGGTCATCTGGCTTGGCACCTGCGGACTGAGCTTACTCTGCAGTTCTATTCAGAATCTGCAGGCAGTTAACCAATCACAGTTGTATGACATCAGAAGAAGGGATGCTCAGAAAGTGCTTGAGGGTTCTTGTCTGGGCTCTGTCTATCGTGTCTCTTCTTGGGGCCTCCACATAGTCAACTGTAAAGTGAGGGCCTTTGTAGAGTTTTGCCTCTCCAGATCATTTAATTCACCCCTCCCCCATTTTACAGATGAAGAAACAGCAGCTCCAGAGTGGGAGAGTGATTAGCTCAATGTTATACAGAGCAGGAAAGGCAGGGTGAGGACTAGGATGGGAGTCTCCCAAGTTTCAGGCCAATTTTCTTGCCTTGATGACATGTAGCCTCCCACAATGGAGGGTCTCAAGGTCAGCTGCTTACAGCTGGAGTATTTTAACTCCACTTTCCTAGAGCAGTCTGGGTTGTGGTTGCTGGGACATATGGTGTTATGTACTGGGTACCTCCTGGCTCTACCTTTTCTCTTCCACCTTCTGACCATGACCCACTGGACCCTGAACCTCTTGCAGGCCATACCTATATATCTGTACAGGATGCTGCTGGTGCCTGCCAGAATGCACAGGGATACGAAATCTCCGAGCATGGCTGCGATGGGTGTGGAGATGTTGTCCGGATTGATCCCCATCTTCTGAGCACCCAGCACCACGCAAATCATCAGTATTCCTGCAGAGAGAGAGAGAGAGAGAGAGAGAGGAGATTATATCTTCATCTAGTACAATCTGAACAAAGAACAGCACCTTCTAGGGGGCTTTATGGCCTTCCCACCCAACAACCTTGGAGGCAATAAAGCATCTCTCTCATTACCTTCTAGACATACTTCAGGTCCACATCCAGCCATCCCTGTTAGCTGGCCTATTAATGGAACCTCTCTTGTAACGGGCATGTCTACATATCAACCACAGGACAAGAACCAATGTTCCTAAGTCTCCTTGTCAAGATCCTGCCTGATGCTATCTGAAGCCTAGTAGATGGCTAGGTAGGCAGACAGTTGGGTTTAAGGCAGCTAGGGGGTGCTGTGGATAGAGCACATATTATTTATATTAAAATAAAAAGCTTTTGTTCAAACAAAACCAATGCCACCAAGACCAGAAGGAAAGCAGAAAGCTGGGACAATCTTTACAGCAAGCGTCTCTGGTAAAGGCCTCATTTCTCAAATATATAGAGAACTGAGTCAAATGTATAAGAACACACACCATTCCCCAGCTGATAAATGGTCAAAGGATATGAATAGGCAGTTTTCAGATAAAGAAATCAAAGGTATCTATAGGCATATGTAGAAGTTCTCTAAATCACTTTTGATCAGAGAAATGCAAATTAAAACAACTCAGAGGTAACACCTTACACTATCAGATTGGCTAATATGACAAAAAAAGGAAAATGATAAATGTTGGAGAAAATGTGGGAAAATTGGGACACTAATGTACTGTTAGTGGAGTTGTGAACTGATCCAACCATTATGGAGAGTAATTTGGAACCCTGCCTAAAGGGCAACCAAAGTGTTCTTACCCTTTGATCTAGCAAACCACTACTAGGTCTGTATCCCAGAGAGATCTAAAAAAGGGAAAAGGACCTACATGTAAAAAATATTTATAGTACTCCTATTGGTGGTGGCAAAATATTGGAAACTGAGAGGATGTAAATCAGTTGGGGAATGGCTGAACAAGCTGTGCTTTAGGAATATAATGGAATACCATTGTACAATAAGAAACGATGAACAGGCAGATTTCAGAAAAAACCTGGAAAGACTTGTATGAACTGATGCAAAGTGAAATAAGCAGAACCAGGAAAACATCGTACACAGTATCAGCAACATGGTGTGATGATAAACTATGAATGACTCAGCTCTTCTCAGCATCACAATGATCCAAGACAAGGACAAAGGACTCACAAAGGAAAATGCTACCCACATCCAGATAAAGAACTGTTGGACTCCGAACGCAGATCAAAGCATATTTTTTTCCACTTCATTCTTTTTCATGTTTCTTCTTCCTTGTGATCTGTTTCCTCTTTCACAACTATAACTAATATGGAAATATGTTTTATATGATAGCACATGAATAACCTATATCAAATTGCCTACTATTTTTGGAAGAGGAGAGGAAGGGAGAAAAATTTGGAACTCAAAATCTTGTAAAAATGGATGCTAAAAAATTGTCTTGACATATAATTGGGGAAAAAATAAAATACTATTAAAAATAAAGAAAAAAAAACATTTGGAGCTGTCTGGGAGATTTTTAAGACCTAGCAGAGAAGACTCCAATGAAGAGAGCTTGAAGGATATGATTTCAGGGTAAGTAGGTAGAGGAATTCAATCAAGCCTCCTGTTTGACAACTTCCAAATGTTCCCTGCTGGGAATTAACAGCCACAAGCATCTCCACCTGGAGTGGCATAACCCAAGGCAGAGCCAGCAAGAGGGATGGAGCCTACAAGAAGAAAAAACACAGAGGAGCTAGGGTCTATGCCTTGGATCTGACAGTTATACTGGACAGTGGCCATCAGGAGTGGGAGCAATGTCACCTCTAAAAATGAAGGTCACAGATCACTTTGTGCCTAGCTTAGTGACAACCTCTGTTTGGTGGCCACCTCTATGATCGCCGCAAGTCCTCCACTCAGTGGGCTGGTGCCCTGCTAGAGGGCAGTCCACTAGCTCCCTCCTGGGGGTTTCCTCCTTTTGCTCCCACCACTTCCCAAGATACTCAATGCCTAGCAGAACCTTCATTTACACCAAAAGCCTCAGTGACTGACAACAGCTTAGAGTGCTGCTGTTGCTGCCACCAGGGTATTGACTTTTCAACAGAGATCAAAACCTTAAAGGGACAAAGCGCTAATACTGGAATTTCAGGCAGAGGGCAGAACTTGGGGCTGCACTGGAGAAGTCTTCACTATGCATCCTGCTGTTATCAGTCATTGCACTTCCTGGCCGTCTCCTCACTAAGCTGCCTATATTCCAGCCATCACCTTCACTTGTTCCCCAAAGCAACCTTGGACTCTGCCACAGGGTCTCTCAGCTCTAAAAGGTGAGCTTTTACCATATCTTACCTGGAACCATGCCAACAAACCATATGACATACCAGGCTAATTTACCGAGCTAATGCATGTACAACCCCACCCCCCCCAATCCTTTTATGCATTATCTTACTCTATTATAATGTAAGCTCCACAAGGGCAGGGTCAGTCTTATATTTGTATCTCCAGTACTTTGCACAGTGGCTAGCATACAGTAAGTGCTTAATCAATTTTCCTTCCTTCTTTCTGTCATCTATCATCTCTCTATCCATTAATCCTGACATCCATCTATCATCTCTCCATTATCTTCCTTTTCATCTACCTTTATCCATCTATCTATCCCTCTGTCTATCCGTTATCTTTCTATCATCCATCCCTTTATCTATCCACTATCTCTCTATTCATTTATCCTTCTATTTATCCTCTAACATCTCTTCATCCATCCCTCTATCTCTCTATCCATCATCTGTCTATTCAGCCTTCTATCTCTCTATCCATCACCTCTCTATCCATCCATCCCTCTACATATCATCTATCATCCATCCCTCTATCTACTATCTCTCCATCCATCTATCCCTCTAGCTACCTCTTTATCTATCCATCTTTATCCATCTCTCTGTCTATCTATCCATCTAACATAGAGGAACCCCATCTCAACACTAGCTCCTAGTATTTCATTTACTTTAGCTGGTGGGCTTTGAGGGGAATCCTAAAATTCCTTTAATACAGAAATCAAAGACTCAATAAAGTTTCTTGAAATTTAGTCCAATGTTCTTATTACAGATGAAGAAACTGAGGCCCAGAGAGCTGCTGTGACTAACCCAGGGTCATACAACTACATCCCAGAAAGAGGGGCTCTGTCAAAACAGTCAAACTGTATTAATATGGAATGTTCTCGAAGAGGAAAGCTTATCAGGGGCAGCTAGGTGGTGCAGTTGATAGAGCTCCGGCCTTGGAGTCAGGAGGACCTGAGTTCAAATCTGACCTCAGATACTTGACACTTACTAGCTATGTGACCCTGGGCAAGTCACTTAATCCAAACTGTCTCACCAAAAAAAAAAAACAAAACGAGAAATCTTATTATAACAGACTCGGGGGGGGGGTTGCAATACCAGAGGAAAAAGGCAATCAGATGGCAATAGCATGCTCTGGGACCAACAGAAAAACAAACAAATAAATATCTTGTGTTTTTCCCAGTGGGAAGAAAACTATGGTGCTTGCTAATGCCAAGAGAACAGAAGAAAGAGCTTTACATTGGATAACGTGAAGGCTTGAAAGGATCTTAGAATAAGAATGTCAGTGTTGGAGGGGACATTAGTGATCATCTGGTTTACAGAGAAGGGAACTGAGACTCAGAGGACTTGCTCAAATGAGTGATGGCACAAATCAAATAAGAATCCAGGCCCACGGCCTCTCAGCCCTGATATTCTTTCTACAAGTCTTTTACTCCATAGTAGAATCAGATGATGGGTCATTAAGGTGAGTGAGGGACATATGGTGACATCCTCAACCTTTGGAAGGTGATGCCAGTGAAGACAACCAAAGACTTTCCTAAGGAGGAGGAATGGTGCCCAAGAAAGACAGAAGTGAAATGGATGCAATTTACCCAAGGTCACACAGCTACATACCAGGAGGGACCCTGTCAGAATAGCCAAATTCTTAACAATCTGGAATGTTCATGGCATGGAAGACAAAAGCTTATCACAACAGGGTCATGGGGACTGACCCATGTAGGTTTTCTTGTTATTCTCCTGGGGTCTGCCTGTGATTTCCTGCTCTCTCCAATCTGGGGAGAACATTAGGTGGATCCAGGTAGACACAGCAGCATCTATCTCTCTTAGGATTTCCCTAGGACTGCTTCACCTTCTCCGGGAACACATAGCTAAGCTCATGGCAGGTGCTACATAAAAACAGAATTGAGTTTTTTCATCATTCCCCTAGCATTTTTTATGATATACCTTAAACTTTGTTATTTCCCTCAGAAACCAACACAGTGCTCTGTATACAGCTAGTACTTGACAAATATTTTCAGAACTGACTGAGCAGGGCTTCAAGCCACCAGTAGGAAAACATTGTACCTAGATGACCAGTAAGGGCCCTTCTAGTTCAAACACTAGAATTTTATAATTTTTCTCTGCCCCCCAACCTTATTTACCCCTAAAGGGTGAAGGCAAGGCCTGGTGGGGATCTGAGATTTAGAAATAGCAATTACAGCTGCTTGATTTTTGAAAGGAAACCCACACTGCCCTCCAGGGGTGGACCCTGGAATTCATTCTTCCCTAATAAGCAAGTTAAAACCTCCCTGTGTTTCCTAGTGTAATGAGCCTAGAATTCTTATAACAGAGGAGTTGCATTATCCTATGGTCTCAAGTCTGGCAGAGAGCTAAATAATACTTTGATCCAACTCACCCTCCCTCTATTTTACAGAGGTGGAAACCGAGGCCCTCTGAAGGCCCAAGGTCACAATGAACTGGTGGAAGAACTGGGATCAGAACCTAGGTCTCAAAACCACTAGCCCCATATTCTTTCCATTCCCAGAAATGTGAGGATGAGAATGCAAGCCCCCTAGGAGAAGCAGCCCCGGACTGAGGATAAGCAGTCACTGATGGGAAGCAGGGTCTTTCAAACTAGCAGAAACACTAGGACATCTGGGCCGGAGGAGCCTGAGGCATTATGGAAAGGGGTGGAGCACAAAGCAAGGGGAGCCCCATGAGCCTCACCTAACTTGTATAGAATACATTCAGATTTACAAATCCCTTTCCTCACAATTACCCTGTGAAGTCGGTAAGTCAAGCATAATCATCCCCATTTTACAGATAAGGAGAGAGGGTCAGAGAGCTAGAATGACTTTTCCCAGAATGACACTGCTAGCAAATTATAAATCTTTATCTGCAAGGCAACAGAGATCAGGTTCAGAAGAGTGACTTTTCCTTAATCACACAGCTACTAAATTTGTTCAGCCATTTCAGTTGTGTCTGACTTTTTGTGACCCCCTTTGGGATTTTCTTGGCAGACATATGGGAGTGGTTTGCCATTTCCTTCTCCAGCTCATTTTACAGATGAGGAAACTGAGGCAAACAGAGTTAAGTGACTTGCCAAGGGTCACACAGCTAGTAAGTGTCTGAGGCCAGATTTGAACGCAGGAAGATAAATCTTCCTGACTCCAGGGCTGCCACTTCCTTCTCCAGTGGGTTAAGGCAAACAGAGGTTAAGTGACTTGCCCAAGGTCTGAGGGCAGATTTGAACTCAGGTCTTCCTAATTCCAGGCCTGATATGCTAGTTGCCCCAGCTAGTAAACTGAAGAATCATAAATCCAATCCAAACCCTTATTTCAGAGATTAGGAAACTGAGGCCAAGACCACTTGTGACTTGCTCAAGGTCACCTATGTAGTAAGAGTCAGAGCCAGGATTTGAACTTGGAGCCCATGACTACAAATCCAGCTCCCCAGGTCCCATCCTGTTTCCAGTGTACCATGATGCCCCCAACACTCCCCCACCAACTCCAATGCTGAAATATGAGCAGGAACTTAGTTTGTGGTGGGTGTCCTTTGCTTCATGTCAGAGTAGCCAGGCAAAGGGCCTCAGCTGTCACTTCTGGCATAAGAATCAGTGACATCAGAGCAAAGGCCCAGGGACCCAATCCAGGCTCTGTTGTTTACCAGCTGTGTGACCTTGGGCAAGTCTCTTCTCTTTGGGCCTCTGTTTTCTCATCTATACAATGGGGGAACACAAGACCTGTCCTACCCTTGTCACTGCGTCACTTCAAGGAAGAAGTCAAATTGCTTTCCTAGTACATCTTTGACTCTTTCTGGGAAAAAATGCTATCAGAAATCCTTGCCCACCTCCTGGGATGGATCTCTGCTTCAAATGATGGTAGAGCCATGGCATGCCTGGCCCCTGTGCTAAACCAGTACCTGGGGAAATGCAGTGAGAATGCTGATATTGCAGAAAGAGTGCTGGATCTGGTGTTGGGGGGACTTGGTTTGGGTCTCCACCACTCTCCACAACTTCTCAACTTCATGGCCCCTTGGTTAAGTCAGTCACATAATTCAATGAGCATCTGAAAGGGAAGCTCAGCCTCAGTTTCCCAGTTTGTAGAATGAAGGGATCATCAGATTAGATGACCTTTAAATCCAAGAATCCCATGAGACAGCAGGCAAAATAAAGGATAGGAGGGGGGCAGAGCCAAGATGAGTGAAAGCAGTGACTTGCTTGAGCTCTCCCCCAAACCCCTCCAAATACCTATAAAAAATGGCTCTAAACAAATTCTAAAGCAGCAGAATCCACAAAATAAAGGATGGGAGAGTAAAGGCACCCCAAAATACTGGCTACAATTTTTTGCTAAAAAAAACCCAGAAAACAAAAAAATCAGAATTAAAGCTCCTATTTAAACACTGGGATAAAATGTTAAGAGTCTATGAACTCTGATGCTCTCACTGCTTCCAATAGAAAGAAGATTCCATTCTTTGCCCTTCCCTAAGACCAGGGAGGCCTAAACAGAGAGAGCATGTCCCATTTTCAGATACTCATGGAATTGTAGATTTAGAGCTAGAAAGGGTCTTCGAAGTCCTAATGTCCAACGTGCCGATTTTACAGATGAGGAAACTGGGACCCATAAGTGACTTGATAGTATCTGAAGCAGGATTCAAACTTAAGGCTTCCAGACTCCAGACTGCCTTTCTCAACATGCCTGTCCCAGTGCCTGATACGTCATTGTGAATGCTTCATTCCTTTCTGTCTTAACTGTTTTTTTGGTCCAAAGCTCCCTGTGATAATAAAAGCACTACTGGTAAGGGAAGTACTTTAAGCATGTTACCAGCTAACACTGTATTGGGAAGGGGATGACTAATTGATAGCCAGCAGACAGCTAGAGATATAGACTCAAGTCCCCCAACACCAGATCTCATAAGAACAAGACGAGGACCCAGGACAGGTGGTAGAATGGGGAGGATGGAGGGACCGGGAAGAAGAAGGCATGAAAGAAGGCTGGCCTTGCCTCCAATGGCTTGGCCTGAATGTCCTCCCAAAGAACCATTGCTTAGTGATGGAAGAGAGAGGATAGGGATTCTGATGGTGGTGGAGGAAAGGGAAAAGAGCCCAGTGAAGGAGTATTCCCCTGCAGCAGGCGGAATGGAAGTATGGCTTGGGTGAAGCTACATGATGGGGGAATCGTCTGGTAGGGGAGGCCTATTTCTCTGGGCTTTGGGAATTCCCAAAGCCTGCAGAAGAGTCACATTCTGTGGCAGAGGTCTTGTCTGGAGCCAGCTGGGTAATGTCATAGGCAGAAAATGGTAATGGTGCTCACCTAAGAACATGGCGGCCATGAAGGCTGTGACCATACTGCTGGCACACAGGACCCCGATGTGGGACAACTCAAGTTTTTGTCCAGAGATAGCTTCCAGCGTAAGGGCAACAACAGCAGCCAGTAGGCCCACAACTGTGGCCTGAACCTGTCAGGGCAGAAATCACAGGTCAGGGCTTGTGGTGGGAAGGAGCAAGGGAGAGGGGGAAGAGGGATGACATCGGGAAGCAGTAGATGGAGAAGGGGGGAGGAGAAGGGCAAAGAAAGGAAAGGGGGCCACAGATTTTTAGATTTTAAATAGACCTTAGAGCTCATCTAGTCCAACCCCATCAGGGCAATAAAGACGGTGAAGGGCCTTGGGTTCATGCCATAGAAGGATCCATTAAAGGAATCAGGGGTTTTAACCTAGAGAAAAGAGGACTCAGGGGAGACATAACAGCTAGTCCAGTGTTTTCCACTGTACCATGGAGCCTCTCTACCTCCCTCCTTCTTTTGCTGACAATCCAAAATGTAATCTGCCAAGTCCCTGAACTTGAAACATTCCTGATTCTGTTCCTGTATTTAGTGGAAGGGTTGAACTCTGACCATTCTGCCTTTCTTTTAGAAGAAGAAACCCCTTGCTAAAAGCCCAGGCTGGAATTTCCTATTAAAGAAAAGTCCTGGGTGTAGGGAAAGGTCACATATGCATATAGGTATATATAAAATGGAGGCACTCAGTGGATAAGAGTGCTGTGCTTGGAGACAGGAAGCCTCAGAATCCAGCCTCAGAAACTTCCTAGCTGTGTGACCTTGGGCGAGTCACTTAACCTCTGTTTGCCACTGGAGAAGGAAATGGCAAACCACTCTAGTACGTTTGCTGAGAAAACCCCACAGACAGGTCCACAGGGTTGGGAAGAGTAGGACATGATTAAAATGATTGAATAACAAAATACAGAATAGATACAGAATCCAGTGACTGCTCTTGTACACTTATTGGCTATTGGCGACCCCAGCCAGAGATTTCTCCACCCTTTCTCTTCTGTGCCTGACCTCCTGATAACCCCTTCTCCCCCTTGGAATGAAGGAAGCCTTTTTTGCCCCGGAGCTCAGACCCTCCCCCCAAATGGTAAGCATAATCTCACTGGCAGTCAGATCATAACAATTTGATATAAGAATGTGCCCTAGGTACAATAAAGAAAGCAGATCTATTTTCTGTTAACAGATATGGAATAGAAGGTCATAAATATGTCAAGTGTGCCCAGGAGAATTATTACTTGATTCTGAGAAAAGGATATCTAAGGAGCCAGGAATGAAAAACAAATAATGGTGAGAGGTCCAAGTTTGTTATCATGATTTAAAGCAAGATGATAGAGTTTTGATAAAAAAAAAACAAAACAAAAACAAAAAACTTTGGTATTTGGTAGAGAATGTCGAAGACATCTGAAAATAAGAACTAAACAGAGATTTGCTAACGGGATAGAAAACCTGCAAGTGAGACAGTGAAGCTGAAGAAGAAATTGGATAGTAAGGGAGACCAAAACACACATGTTTAAAGTAATCAAGGTGTTCCTCTTTTAGCTATAAAGAGGAAGCTAAATTCAGGGACAAATTATTAAAAGAAGTGACTACATTATCAGCTTAAGAATGGGGAGGCCCAGCTTGTTTCACAGAAAGCTGTTCTGCTACTTTGAGTCAAGCAGATGCTGTATGCAGAAACTCCAAAACTTTTCCTAGGATTTCAGAGGACCCTTGTTTCTAACAAAGTCAGAGGATTAAACCCAGAGGTAAGATACTTCCTATGTATAGTTTCAACTGGAAAAACCCCTCAGGAGAAAAAGAAAAGCTAAACAAATTTCAGAAAAGCTAAACAAATATTATACTATCAACAAATTCAAGTACAGATGTCAAAAGATCAATGTCACAAAAGAATTAGAACCAGTCAACTTTTAAGTGGGTGAAATTATGATGCCACAGGAAAAATGGTTACTCATGCACACTGCACATAATACTGAATAATATGATTATATATTTTATCATTTGCTACGCATCATATATTTATATTATTATATATTATCATATATTATTATATGAATTAAAAATTTCCCTCCTTGCATGTATGTACTATTTATTATGTTCTCTATATATTTTAGATACTTTTTCTGTCTAGTAGTGCTTTGTATTATGTATTTACTTTATGTCCAGTAATATATTATAATTGGGGCAGCTAGTTGACACAGTGGTTAGGCCTGGAATCAGGAAGACCTAAGTTCAAATCTGACCTCAGACACTTACTAGCTGTGTGACCCTGGGCAAGTCACTTAACCTCTGTTTGCCTTAGTTTCCTCATCGATAAAATGGAGATAAGAACACTTACCTCCAAGGGTTGTTCTAAGGACCAAACGAGATAATAATTGTAAAGCACTTGTACGTAGCAAGTGCTGTATAAATGTTAGTTACTAGTACCTATTTTTATATTTAATATTAATGTGGATTTGGTGTACCCTAAATGACTATTCAGGGACTGAAAAATTTTTGGTTACAAGGAGAAATGTAATGCCAACCTAAATAGCCCCTCCCACAGAGACTATCAATACTGTTACTCTAAGAGGGAACAGAATCTTGGGACAGTGGTAGTTTAGCTGTATTTTGGAGTGGGTTTTAACTGTAATAGCCAGAGAGAAAGAAAATATTTGATAAGAGAACTTATCAGTCAAAGTCAAAGACTGAAGATACATTTCTTGAGAGAACTGCGTTAAACTCTCATGTTTTGGAGAATGAACCATACTGATAATTCCCAAGTGTCTGTCAAGCTGAGAACGCTGAATGGTGGGATTATGTTTCCAGAGTTGAGTAGAAGTCAGTAGTTACAGCTGATAGTTGGAAATAACTCCCACTGTGATCTTTCACACTGTAATACATTGTTGAAATATTTGAATATGTATCTAAACGGCTTGTTAATACTTTTAATAACATTGTATGGCCAGTTCCATTGATATTTATTTAAGCCTATGAAACTAGAGGGTTTGAGAAAGAGGGAGAGAAGGAAGAAAGACTAAGGGAAAGAAGTTTATCTGTTTATCTTATCAACTGGAGTAAGGATTCATATCTAATTAACTATATCATGCATTTTTATTAATTTAGGAGGAAATATCAAATTTATTCCCTATCTCAGAACCTGAGAAGAAATTAAGGTAAAGAAGTCAAGTAACAACCTGAAGAGTGGAGACTCGATATGGTCGTTAGCTAGTTCCTGACATTCATATAGACTATAAAACCCACTACATGTACATGTTATTTTTCTTGATAGAATGTAAGCTTCTTGAGGGCAGGAACATACTTAAATTTTTTTTTCTTCGTATCTTCAGAGCCTAGCACAGCACCCACAGTATACAGTGGGTACTTAATAAATGTTGGCTGATTGATTTGACAAAGGCCAGCCCTCCATCCACCATATCACACCGTCTCTCCCCTTCACCATCCCCTGGCCTCCCCGATGGTAGCCTTGTGTCAGTGTCCCAGGGTCTCTGTTTCTGTGACTACTTCGCAACTAAAAAGATTTTTCAATCAGAAAGGTGAAATTTATAATCCTTCCTCTGTAAATCCTTCCCCCTAAAAAAAACCCCTAGTTATGCCTCTGACAAGTCCCACCCCCTAGAACACAGACTTGGCCAAAGTGACAGCTGATACTGAACACTGGGGTGACTCACCTGGATCAGAGCGAGGTTACTGCTGATCATTGTTTGCTGCTGCTGCGGGTCGTCAAACTTCCCAGTGTTAGCCTACAAGCGAAAGAGAAAAAGCAAAGAATCAACAGACGGAAACCCAGTGGACATCTATAGTGACTCCCTGCTTCTATTCACGGCCCAGCTGGGTCTGAACGCAGGGGGGCATTGGCCTGGCCTGGCAGGGCCTGTGAAAGACCCTTTCTAAGAAGTCTAGAGGCCAAGCTAACAAATATTGGTTAACTGATTCCATTGCTGTTGCTCAGTCGTTTCAGTTGTGTCTGACTCTTCGTGCCTCCATTTGGGGTTTTCTTGGCAAAGATACTGGAATGGTTTGCCATTTCCTTCTCCTGCTCATTTTACAGATGAGGAAACTTTGGTAATGAGGGTTAAGTGACTTGCCCAGGGTCATGCAGCTAGTGTCTGAGGCCAGATTTGAACTCAAAGTGGCCCAGTGCTTTGTAAACTATGGTGCCACCTAGTTGCCCAACTGATTCTATTCCAACTCCTTTATCCAACATTTGAGGCCCTTCACAATTTGGCCCAACCCTTCCTCTCTCTGCCATTAATTATAACTATCATTAACATGGGACTTCAAGGTTTTCAAAGTACTTTATGTTCATTACATTATTTGATCTTTGTGATAATTCTATGAAGTAGGTGCTATTATTATGCCCATTGTACAAATGAGGAAACTAAGGCTCAAAAAAGGACACTGACTTCATTGTTCCTTTTCAGGTCCTGCCCTGCTAGCTAGGGTATCCTTCCCTTCTCTGGGCCTCAGATTTCCCATCTATACAATGCAGGGATTTAACTAGGGTTCCCTCCAGATTAAATGATTTACATCTCTAAGCCTTCCCTGCTGATTCTAAGCCACTCTAAATCTCTTATGTCTTAAGACACTTATCTGGCTGAACTGCACAACTCGGCACCTTATTATAATTATTCTCATTCACTAATTGCTATTTGGGGCTGTCTTGCTTCCCTGACTGGACTGAAAGTTTCCTGAAGGCAAGGAAACTCCCTTGTATTTCTGTATCTTCTAGAACATCTGGCAATACAGTACCCTGCTCGTGGCAGATGTTAAAGGAACACCTGACTGAAAGACACAAGGATATTTTGAAGGGAAAGGGACCCTCCTCCATCCCCCTATTCTTATTCTCTTTCTCTCTCTTTCCAACTTCACAGTCCCACCTCAGGTAGGAAATTGTTTCCTGATTAATGCTCCCATCTCCAGGAGCCTTTTAGAACTTAGGAGGTACTTTCTTCATGACTAATGCCCATGGTGTGGGCAATGCAAGGATTGTTTACTTTCATTTTACTGGTGAGGAACCTAAGACCCTGAGGGGCCAAATGACTTTCCCAGAGTCATCTGATGAGTGTCCAGCCTGTGACTCAAACTCCGATTTTCTTTATCAGAATATAGCAGACAGAGCATTGGGCTATCCTGCCTCTCACTCAAGCAACGTTCTCCCCTTAAATTAGATTTATAAAGACCCTCCTTGCCCTTCGCCAAGCTCTGACCTTTGTAAATGAGCAGGAATCACCTTTTACCATCTATGACAAATGACCCTCCATTCTCGGCTCAAAGACTGCCAATGATGGGGACCTTCACAACTCTAGAGAGAGCCCATTTCCCCTTTGGACAGCTCTCAATGTGAAGATTTTTCCTTGTATTGACTTTATATGCGTCTGCAATTTCCACCCATTTTTCTTAGTTTTGTCTTCTGGATCAAAGTAAAGCAAGTCTTCTCTCTCTTCTGCATGACTGCCTTTCAAAGACTTGAAGACAACATACATCCTCCCCCCTCCCCCCAAGCTTTCTCTTCTACAAGCTAAACATTCCCAGTTGCTTAAATCATTTCTCTTCTTCTATATTCAGTCATTTTTCAGTCATGTTTGACTCTTCGTGACTCCATTTGGGGTTTTCTTGGCAGAGATACTGGAGTGGTTTGCTATTTCCTTCTCCAGCTCATTTTACAGATGAGGAAACTGAGACAAACAGGGTGAAGTGACTTGCCCAAGGTCACACAGCCACTGTCTCAGGCCAGATTTGAACTCAGAAAGATGAGCCTTCCTTCCTTCAGGCCCAGCACTTTCTCCACTGTGCCACCTAGCTGCTCCCCCAAAACACTACCAATTCCTTAAATCAGTTCTCTTACAATGCAGTTGTGGTCCCTTCAACATCTTGATTACCTTTCTCTCGGTGGCTCATTATTAAAATATGGCGTCCAGAGCAGAACAAAACAGATACTATTGGACCTGGAAAGAGGACAGACTATGCTCTCCTTTGTTTTGGACACTATGATTTCTGTTAATTTAGCCTCAGATTGATTGCATTAGGTTTGTTTTAGCTGCCTCATTAAGCTGGCGGCTCCTAGTGAGCTTGAAGTCCAGTGAACTCCTTAGATCCTTTCCCAGCTGCTTTTTTTTTTAAACAACCAATGCTTGTGAGGTAGGCAAAGTATTAGTCATCCCCATTTTATAGACAAAGGAACAAGGCCCAGAAAGGTACTCCTATCTTGTTCTCGTGTAGATAATATTTTGAACCCAAGTGTCCCTTTTAATTCTACATTTCATGGCCCCATGAGACAGACTTTGGGCAACTGACTTAGCCTCCTGGGCCTCAGCCTCCTCATCTGTAAAATAAAGGGGTTGGAGTGGATGACCTCTGAGGTCCTTTACAGCTCTAAACCTATGAGTTATTAGTTATGATATCACAGCAGCCCTCTACAAGGGGAAAACAAAGTGGATTACAATGCCTAATTGCTCAAATTATGACATGCAGTTGGATGGGCATTACTTCCACTCTGACCCAAATTCATCTAGCATATTGCTGCCAATGCTATTTTCCTAAAACAGTCCTTTAATCAATATGGTTTGAAGGTCAGGAATGAAAGAGTCTAAATGTTTATAGATGACTTAGGAGTCTCCCACCTGTAAATCACAAATACTTTTGTCAAACAGAACACAAGAAGATGCTGAAAGCATCAAACATCTAATGAAAGCATACAAAAATGAAAGTGATTACATCTAAGAACAATGAAATTAACTGGTTCCAAATAGAGCAGCGATTTCTAAAATCACCTGCCTGTGTATGTCAGATCACCAACTGTTTAAAAGGCAAAGCAAACACCTAAAAGACATGGGAGAGAGACAAAGGTACTTTGTTCAATCACAAATGCTGTAATCCCACCTCTATAAATCAACTGCCATTTCTGAAAAGTGAAAAATAGGGAGAAATAAAGGCATTGACTTTAGCCATGTGTACTAGGGTAATGAACAGCCTTAAATCCATGCCATCGGAATGGAGACTGTCTAACCTGGAGAAGAAAAGAATCAGGGGAGATATGTTAGCTGCCTTCAGGTATCTGTAGAGTCATCAAGTGGAAGAAGGATTGGACATGTCCTATTTGGCCACAAAAGGAAGAACCAGAAGCAATGAGTAGGAATTGCAAGACATTAATTTAGGTTTGTCATAAGGAAAAACTTCCAATGATCATTTTCCAAGTGGCATGGACTCCCTCTGGGAGGTGGTAGGCTTCCTTTTCTTGGAAGTCTTCAGGTTAAAGCTGGGTGACCACATTCAGCGTATGCTATAAGGGGATTCTCTTTCCCATATAGTTCACACTGGATGGCACTGAAGTCCTTTCTACGCTTCTGTCTTTTATTAGCAACATTTAGTGGATGCAAATATATTTACCACATTGAGGCTGCTAAAAGAGCCCAGAAACTGCCTTAGCCAGTAAACATTTTGTGATCTGCTTTCCAAGTAGAAAAGAAATAGAAGCCAAGGGCAAGACAAGTTTAGGGTTCAAGCTTATTTGTAAAACAGATGACAGTGGGAGATCAGGAGCAGCATTGCCAAACAAAATGAGGAAAAAACAGCCTGGGAGAAGTCAGGCTCGTAGAAAGTTTGGTGTGGGACCCAGCTAAGTCAGATCGCCCTAGGGTGATGAAACTGGCAGAAAGATCACAAATGGACAAAAAAGGAACCAGATCTATTGGAATTTTTATAATAATCTACTTAGAGGAGTGGAACCACTGTGTTTGAACTCTACCTCCTCCATGCTCAGTGGACTACAGATGGAAGCGTCAATGACATTTAGGAAGATATAGTTAACAAGGGCAGCTTTCCTTAACAAATATGCACAGAAGAACACTACATTGGGCCCTGGGGGCTGATGAGGAGGGAACAGTATTAAAGGCATCCAGAAACAGAATTCCTGGATATGTAAAAGAGAGGACGATGCTAAAAGAATGGAAAAGATCATGGACTATGAACAATTAACAAACAAAGTAAAGAGATATCAGCCTGATCTCTCATCTTTAGAAAATGAGAATGGTCTACGCACACAACAAAGCTGTCCTTGATCAGGAAGGTCAAATAGGAGCCACAACGGCCAGTGTGGTTTATACTTACATTTATAATACTCTTGGATGTGGCTCAAGCCAGAATACAATATAGTCAGGGGTTATTTATTTTAACAAAATAAAGAAAATATAATGAAATTTAGATAATATTACAATTTAAAACTAAACCAATATGTGGCCCACAGGTTTAGTGGCCCTGTTTCTATGTAAGTTGGATACCACTAGCCTGGATAAAAGCACGAGAGGGTAACAGGCAGGCAGTCTTTTTCAGATGATTTTCTAAGGCAGACAAACTCTTTTCAGTTGGCCAACTGCCTGAGGGGCGTAGAGAACATAAGATTCTCCTGGGTATGTTGTTTACTGATTTTTTAAAAAGCATCTGACTTAGGAGAACAAGATGTGACTGTGAAATCTCTCCTCAGACAAGGCATCTATCTTCCCCAGGTGTGAGTTAAAGTGATGGCTGTGACTTCACCAAAGTCTTCCTCTGATGCTTCAGGGAAAGCATGGAATGACAGTATGGAAAAGCTGCCAGTGTCACTATAAAGTGAGGGGGGTGGCTGATGGTCTCCAAGAATTTTTCTAGCTTTAGTTATGAGCAGCTCAGAGCTACTAACACCTCCCAGATGAAGGATTATGGGACTGCGGGGCTGGTTTCCCCTTCCTTTCATTTAGAGACTACTTTCTGCTTCCCAAAAGGCCTCTGGCAGGTCCTACACTGAGCTAGAAAGGCTTTGCACTTGGGCATAGTGATGGGATGAGGCTCAGCTGCCCAAAGACCAGCCTCATTAAGTGCAGAGAGGCTCACCCATCTGGGTGGCTGCCTGAGAGATGAAGTGTTCAGTTATGGCATAGGTGGAAAGTATGGGGTCACACTGATGAAATGATAGCTTCATTAAAGAATCAAGAAAATACTGTCTTCTCATTCTAGCCTGTAGAGATGTTTGGAATGATATTATCTCCCAAGTTTCTTCCAAATCTAATACTATCAGGCTTCAGATACCTTTTTTTTTCTGCCCCTGTGACTTTCTGGATCCTTACCAGCTACTCTGGGGTATTTCTCTCCTTTTAGGGAGAGATGCACTTTAAGGATCACCTGTTCTGTTTTTTGTTGGCGTGATATCAGTTTATAAATTCGTATGTTAATGGTAGTCATTTTTTTAAAAAAAAGGGTCTTATGCCTAATGAAGTAATCTCTAGTCTGGCAGTCACAAGGATTTTCCTCATTTGAATTATATGAGTTGGAAAATGTTGGGGAGGGAGTGATTGGCCTCCCTGTCCAGTAAAATTTTAGGCTTGGACAAAAAAAACAAAAGGTTGGTTCTAGCTCAGTGACCGGCCCATAGTGTCACCTTAGATGAATGGCCTTCGTGTCATTTTGTAAGAATGTTCAGAATGAAATTTTGATCTGTCCAGATCTGCATAGGAATCAGCCCTGCTTCTGCTCCCCATTATCATCCAGTTCCCTGCCTCTGATTTCTGTTAGCATTCTTTTCCATACCCAGACCTGTTCTCTTCTTCCTTCTCTTCTTCTACAGTTCTAACTTTCAGTTAGACCAAACACAGATTAGGTGGGAACTAGATCATTTCTGAGCCTGGAGACATAGGAGGGAAGAATCAGCCATCATTCTTCCCTTCCCAACAGCAGTTTTGTAGGGGTCAAAAAGCTAGAGGGTGGGGGAAGGGATGATGTGAGGCTTGATGGGATGAGAAAGGTGACAAGGAGAAAGGATGGCCCAGGAAGAGCCTCAGTTCCCTCTTCTTTAAAATGAAAGGACTAGATGGACTAGATGACCTTAAAATTTCTTATTAGAAATATAAGCCCTTGAGGACAAGGACTGTCTCACTTTTTGTCTCTTTATCCACAGCACTTAACATGGTGCTTAATAAATGCACACTGATTGGCTTATTATAGCTCTAAAATTCCAGGATTCCAGCTACTTTTTTTTTTAAATCAAGTGTTCTTAACTTGAGTTCCATGACCTTTTTTAAAATTTTAATTAATTTTTAGTTTTCAACAATCACTTCCATAAGGTTTTTTTTGTTTGTTTGTTTTTTTGTGAGGCAATTGGGGTAAAGTGACTTGCCTAGGATCACACAGATAGTGAGTGTTATGTGTCTGAGGCCCAATTTGAACTAGGTCCTCCTGACTCCAGGGCCAGTGCTCTATCCACTGTGCCACCTAGCTGCCCCCCTAAGTTTTTGAATTTTAAATTTTCTCCCCCTCCCTCCCCAAGATGGTGTGCAATCTGATATAGGCTATACATATACGTTCCTATGAAACATATTTTCATATTAGTCATGTTGTAAAGAAGAATTAGAACCAATAGGAGGAACCACAAGAAAGAAGAAACAAAACAAAACAGAAGAAAAAACAGCAAATACTGTGTTTCGATCTGCATTCAGACTCCATAGTTCTTTCTTTGGATGTGGACAGCGTTTTCCATCATGAGACTGCTGGAGGTGCCTTAGATGCTTGCATTGCCAAGAAGGGCTAAGTCCATCAAAGCCCGTCATCGGACAATGTGGCTGTTACTGCGCACAGCGTTCTCCTGGCTCTGCTCGCTTCACTCAGCACCGGCACGGCCTTTTGTTTTAAATGTTGATAACTGCAGTTCAATATTATTGTCTCAATAGCATTGGCTTCCTCCGTGACCCCATGCACCTCAAAACCTTATTTTGCAAAGGGCCCCAGAGATTTCGCCAGAGTGCTGAAGGCGTCCATGACAGAGACAAGATTAAGAGACCCGGATCTCAAGATCTGTTGCCTATGATTGGCAGTTTCTGCCTTCATCATGGGCATTAAGAAAGAGCATTAATGTGACAGCCAAGGACCAATCACTTGTTTCTTTGAGAACCAGCAACTTGAGCACTGCTAGAGTTTTTGCGCTTCTGGGACAAGGGGCCTAGATGTGAACTTACAGCTGTGGAGAGCCGGCAAGCCAAAGTCATTTCCAAGTTCCCTTTCAGGCCCAAAAGGGGAGGTACTAGGATTAAGAGTTCTTTAATCTCCACAAACACGGTCCAGTGCTGCCAGGGAAAAAACAAAGAAAACATTATTCCACTTACGCACGTGGGTACATGTACCTAAGATACAATTATCTACCTGCTATGGCAGTATGGCACAGTAGCTAGAATGCCAGACTTGGTGACAGGAAGACCTGGGTTCAAATCCTACCTCAGATGCTTCCTAACTATGGCTAAATCACATAATCTCTATATGTCTCAGTTTCCTCATCTGCAAAATAAGAGATTGGAATGGATGGCCTCTAAGGTCCAACTTGACATCTTTGATTCTAATACTGTGACCTCAAGTATGTCACCTTCCCTCTCCTGAGCCTCAGTTTCTCCACCTATAGCATGATACAGATATAATACTATACCATAAAATAATATTTTCCCACCCAGCCTCATTTTCTTCCTCCCTCCCCTTTCCCCCAACCAGAATATTAGAGTTGGAAGAGACCTCAGAGATCAGTTAATCCAATCTATACCTGAATAATGAGCCCTCTTGCAGAATGCCCTGAGGTTGTTCAGCCTAGACTTCCAGTAAGAGGGAACTCATTAGCCCCTAAGGCAGCCCAATCCATTTTTGGCCAGGTCTCAGTATTAGGAAATTTCTCTCTCTACAATCCCTCTCTTGTACTCCTTTTAGAGACAGCATTAACCTAGGTGACATTTTCAGATCAGATTTCATTCTAGACATTCATGCAAAGTGGAGTCAAGTCTCCTTAGTGGAGGTCACAAAGGATGATGGTTATACATCTGGGACCAGAACCCCAGAGACCTGACTCTGAGTCCAAACTATGGTCTGATAAACTAATATTTAATTGGCCAAACTTGCCCCAGAATTGTTGAATACCACCTGAAACATGAGCTTCCAGGGGCCAAGGAAAGAATTTAGGCATTTTCAATCCCGGAGGTCAGCCACTGCTCAGAGAAAGCACCTCAGATTCCCTAAGTGACCTCAGTGGAAAAAGTTATCAAAAATATCTGCCCAAAATAGAAACTCAATTAGAGCCAGCAGCTTCTCAGCACTTTTAATTAGCAGGTGGATTTCATCCTAAAGGCCTGGCCCTAAGAGAGATGGGTATGAGAAAAGGGCTTCAGGAGATTAAGAGATGATGAAAACGGAAGAGTGGAAATGAGTTAAGGGACAATAATCTGGGGGGGGGGGGCGGGGAGGCCTTCAACTTAACCAGGGAAAAGCCAAGGTCAGAGTTCCCAGAGAAATCAAAGACCTTTTTCTGTCCCCAAGGTCAAGGTTACACATTTAAATTCTGAATGGGGCCAGTTATCTTCCAATGAAGGCAATCTATGTTCCTTCTTGACTGCTCCATAGTGTTGGACACAAGTGACCACCCTCTCCTCCTGGACACTCTCCTTTCTGGGTAGTTGTGACATGGATCTCCCTTGATTTTCCTCCTACCTCTCTGACCTATCCTCCTCTGTCTCCTTTGCAAGTCATTCATATCACATTCCCTAATTGTGGATACATCCCCAAAGTTCTGTCCTGAGCTCTCTTCTCTTTTCCTTATGCGAGGAAACTTTCTTGGTGAATAAATACATCACCTCCCAGAAGTCCAATTAGTCCAAGGCAGCTAGGTGACCACAGTTCATGGAGCATTGGACTTGGAGTCAGGAAGACCTAATTTCAAATCCTATCCCAGACACATATTTGTTATTTGGCCCTGGGCAAATCGTTTAACCTCTGTTTGCTTCATTTTTTCCATCTGTAAAATGGAGGAAAAACACCTCTCTTCCAATATTGTTGTAGGGATCAAATGAAGGGATATATATAAACGATTTTGCTAAACCTTAAAGAACTATAAAATGCTACCCATTACAATCATCATCATCATCATCATCTCTATGGAGGATTCATAACTCTTTACGTCCACCTTCTCCCCCCCCAACAACTACCAGTAATCTTCCTCCCTATCTTGCACTCATTAGTATTTATTATGTATGTGTGTACATATTGTTGAGTTGCTTCAGTCATGGCCAACTCTTCATGGCCTCATTTGGGGTTTTATTGGCAAAAATACTGGAGTGGTTTGCCATTTCCTTCTCATTTTTACAGATGAGGAAACTGAGGCAGACAGGGTTAAAGTGACTTGTCCAGGGTCATGCAGCTTTAGTAAATGTCGGAGTCAGGAGCAGAGCAATCTTCCTACAAGTGGGAGAACTAAATATAATCAGTGTCCCAAGCTATGGGTCACTGTGCCCAAGCTTGCAGATGGCCTTACATGCAAGATCCAAGGAGGCCCCTGCGCATTCCGACCTCTGCACTTTGGAAGAGGGTGGTATCAGCTGGGACTGGTTCCTCAGCCCCCATTCTGCTGGGGGTCGGCTCCTCTCTGGTTTGCGTCAGGTAGGGATGGTTTGTGCATGGCCTGTGGCCAGGAGAAGCTAGGCTTTCTACAGAAAATATGTCACAAATTCTGTGGGTTCTGTTAATGTACCAAACAGCAATGCCTGAGTCTGGCTGTTAACCCTTTCACCACCTGGCTCCAGCATATCTCTAAGGGGCTGACTTGCTAACTCTCCCCTCGAGGCACTCTACATTCCACCCAAACCAGCTCCTTTACTGCTGCCTGAACAATCTGTTCCATCTGTCTCTGAGTCTTTTCATTGATTTTCTCCCATGTCTGCAACTCACCTCTGCATTTTAGAATGCCTAGCTCCCTCCAAAGCTCAGCTGAAGGGCCACTTCCTATAAGAAACCTTCCCCTATTTCCTGATTGTGAGAGCTCTGCTCCAATTTGTATTTGACAGACAGCATGGTATGGTGGGTAGAGAACTAGCCCTGCAGTCAGGAAGATTTGGGTCATATAGTGACTATAGGATCAGTAAGTCATTTAACCTTCTTGTGTCCCAGGAAACTCTTTACAATTGTAAATGCAGAGGAAAGTGTGGATCTGTACTGGCAGATGAATTTCCTTATACAGATGAATTTCCTTATACAGAAATCCAAACACTGATAATCTTTTAAAATTTATTTTTTCTGTTTTCATATTATTTCCCACCCCCAGAAGAAAATAATCTCTTTGAGGGACAGGATGATGGCATTTTTATCTTTGTAGCCCCAACAACTAACACAGTGTGTGATACACAGTGAATGTTTAATAAATGCTGGTCAGATTGAATTGATTTGGGACTAGAAAACACATTGGAGCAGAGAACTGAGAACACAGTACCAAACACAGAGGTATCAAGGTGTGGGGGAAGAAACCCCACTGGCTGAGAGGCTCCAGGCTGGGCTCTGCTGCCGACCTGCCCCGGGGACTTTGGACAAATCAGCTTCACCTCAGGGCTCAGTTTGTCTTGGAAATGAAAGGGTTGGACAAGACGATCTCTTAACATCCCTTCAATTCATTCTTGGCATTCTATGATAAGGTGAATCAGGTGGCCGACTTTAGGTAAAGCAGTTCTATGTACCTACTTCTTGTAATTGCCGATGTGGACCCTGGGTCAAGAATAGCAAAACTGGGATGTTGGGGAAGTTGGTTACAGCACCCGCAGCGCTTACCAGGTACATGATATTCTCTCTCTCTTCTCTCTCTCTCTCTCTCTCTCTCTCTCTCTCTCTCTCTCTCTCTCTCTCTTTCTGTCTCTCTCACTCTCTCTCTCCTTATGTCTTTCCTTCTCTCTTCCTGTCTCCCTCATATAAAACCTCTTTGTAGATAGGCATTCAAACATTAGCCATCCAAGCCAGTGGCAGACACTTTGAGAACACTGGGAGTGAGAGGTCTGGGGGGGGGGGAGGTGTTTCTAGATGTAGCAGCCCACTATTCCAAGTCACAACTCAGCTTTATATAACATGTTTTAAGGTTTGCAAAGAGCTTTGGAGAAGGCATCTCATCCCAGCCTCACAACAGTCTTATGAGAGGCAGGTGCTATTTTCACCCTCATTTTAGAGAAGGAGAAACTGAGGCTCATGGCTCAGAAAGGTTAAGTGATTTGTCCTGGGCTGCACTGCCAATATCTAATGTGGGATTTGCACCCAGGTCCTGACCCCAAATCTGATACTCCTTCTGCTATGCTACCCTGCCGCTCTGATACAATAAATCTTCCTCCTTCCCTCAGTAACATTAATAGCTAATATTTATATAGCACTTGAAACACATTATCTCATTTGATCTTCACAACAATCCTGTGAGGTAGGCTACTGTTATCCCCATTTTACAGAGGGGGAAACCAAGGATCAGAAGGTTAAGTGACTTGCTAGGGGCACACAGCTGGCAAGTGCCTGTCTCAGGTCTTCCCATCTCGTATTCTAGCACTCTATCCACTGCCTCATTGAGATGTCTTGGTAACAATCAACAATTACCAGGTGCTTTCTATTTGCCAGGCACTATACTAAGAAATGTAAAGAAAGGAAACTCCCCCTCCCCCAAAGAGAATGCCAGGGAAGTAGCCTGAGAATGCCCAGGGACTGCTGCAACTCTAAAAATGCCCTGTTGGTTTTCCTATTAACCTGGCCTGAAGACACAAGAGCCTATAGACAGGTATGAGCAGTCAATCACAGGTGTGACAACATTCCCATTTCCCACCTGGAGCCTCTCAATTCGCAAATTGCCATGCAGTCCAATCATCCATCACCTACTCCCTAAAGGGGCACTAGCACCAAAGCCCTGGGGATTTAGGACAAGGGTGGGGGAAAGCTTCAGTTCCTTACAAAGTCCTGGAAGCCTGCTTCCTAATGCCACTGAAACATCTGAGCCTAGAAGCAGAGTGTAGGACACTGGCCTTAGCGTGAGCTGGGGTGGGTCCTGATAAGGTCTTGTCTATGTGATAGGTATTGCCAGGTCAGCCTTACTGACCTGGTCCAGACCAGCAAGGGGGGAATCATTAAAGCTACATTCCAGAAACAGCCATACATACTTGGACTTTGTTTGCCACCAGGCCTGCAGCCACCATACCCATGATGGAAAACATAAATGGAAACAGGACCTGACAGATGATGGAGCCGAATGTCTCCGGGATGAATCCAGTAGGGGCCCTGATCATCTCACAGGAGAAGCCTCTCAGCTTTTTCCCCCGGAAGCGGAATTCCATATTTATCTGGGTGATGACCATGATTGGGCCCTTCACCCCATGCCCATGGGAGGAAGCAGGAGGAGAATCAGGTGAGGAAGCAAGGCCACTTTCTCCGAGGTCAGAGCGGACAGTTTCCTTCCTCCTTCTCCCAAAGTGTTCGCTCTTCTCTGCTCCCAAGTGAGAGCACCCGGAGGATTCCCCCAAGAAGCCAGTTCAGGGAATCGGGTGAGTTCTTTGTCAGGTCTCTGTTCACGGGCTCTGCACTGCAGCAGAGAGCAGTTCTGAATACCCCTCAATGGGGAGGAATGAAATCCGAAAGCAAAGAAAGAAAGGGAGAAAGGGCCCAGCTCTGACTTGGCGCCCACACTCACAGACTCTTTACAGGTGGTGTAGTGGTGCCGTGAAGGCTGTTCCACATAAGCAGTAGCTATTCTGTGATAGAAAACTAAAATACAGGAGCCAGGCGGAGAGGCTGCTGTCCTGCTCCCAGGCCTAAGCTTAACTCCCTCCTAAACTCTTCAGGACAAGAGCCCAGCAAGGTGAGTCTACGCTGGCCTTTGACTTTTGGCTCACTCTCTTTTCCATGGCAAAGGGAAAGTCATGAGAAGGAGCCAAGAGGTGGGCGGTGATTGTCAAGGTGGCTGGTCCCACATGGTGCTGACCTCTGCTCTTGGTGGGGAAGGTTGAGGAGAAATTTCATCCAAGAAGAGCCAGTTTAGGCCAGCTCTAAAGCTTCCTCAGTGGATTTTCATGCCAAAGAATGCCAACAGGCCACGAGATGTCAAGAAGATAAAAAATATCCCTTATGTCCTCCTCGTCATCTTCTGTCTGGTTTGTGAAGGCGTGAGATCAGTGATTTTCTGTTTAGGAGAGTTCGGTCACCTCTCCAGGCCTCAGAAGCATTTGTGTTAGTGAAAGACCTCGCAGACTTCTCCCAAACTAGGACAGTGGGCTGTTTTCCTCAGCTCTTAACATCTTGTACTTTTTAGTGCTGGTAATTCCTTCATCTTAGCATCAGCTGGACCCAAGAGCTGACAGGTTGAGGCAGAGAAAGGACACCTTGTTCAGTTCTATTGTTTGGTGTCTCCTACTCATTCCGAAGATTGCGTGGAATGGAATGCCCAGCCCCAGTGTGGCCTATCAGAGGAAGCGGGAGGGAGCACAATACTAGGGAATGAGGCTTCAGTGCCTACCTGAGGGGCCGGCCTCAGCTCTGATCTCATTGGGAAGTACCACTCTCTACACCCCACCCCTCCACTCACACCTCAGGTCCATGGAGGTGATGGGTGTGACAGCCCTCTGGAAAGTGGGGAGTAACCCAGAACTGAAAGGGAAGGGGGCACTACCTTCTCAATCCCACAGCCCTTCAGGAAGGAAAAGTTATTAAGTGCTTGGGGCTACAGGTACGTAGGTGACTCTAAGGCACCAGATGGCATCTGTGGGGGCCAGGAGAGAACCCTGAAGTTCCCAAAGTCTGCTCCCCCCATTTCTTCCCACCTATCCCCCTCAAAAGGAAAAAAAGAAGGAAAAACTAAAAGCTTGTTGTAAATATTTATGAATCATAGTCAAGCAAAACAAATTCCCTCATGTGCAGTATATGCCTCATTCTGAACCTGAGGCCATCACATCTCTACCAGGAAACGGATAGCATCATCAGTACTCTGAGACTGTGTCAACTCCCTCATTTTATATTTTATAGATGATGACTATCATTCTGTATTCCCAGATATACAGAATGCCCAGAGAAGTGAAGTAATTTGCCCAGGATCACACAGAAGTTTAAGAAGTAGAGCCAGGATTGGAATATAGTTCCTTTGACTTCACACAAAGGACCACAAAGACTCCTTTGACTTCTTCCATAAAGACCACACTTCCTCCTAAGCAGATCTAAAGGAATCGGGTGGAGTGAAGAATTTAGAAGCCTCACCTCCCATAAACACTGCCCTAGGGCTCTAGAGCAGGATTATTTTCCTAGCTTACTCCAAGGAGAGTTCCTGACACCAACTTTGATCTCACATCACCATCCCTTCTTTTCTCCTTTTATTGCTAGAGGGTCTTTCTTTCTTTCTTTCTTTCTTTCTTTCTTTCTTTCTTTCTTTCTTTCTTTCTTTCTTTCTTTCTTTCTTTCTTTCTTTCTTTCGTTCTTTCTTTCTTTCGCAATTGGGGTTAAGTGACTTGTCCAGAGTCACACAGCTAGTAAATGTCAAGTGTTTGGTCTGAGGCCAGATTTGAACTCAGATCCTCCTGACTTTAGGGCCAGTGCTCCATCCACTGCACCACCTAGCTGCCCCTACAGGGTCTTTCAAAGCAGAAGGACATTTGTGACCAGGGAGGAACAGACGTGGGGTCCAGGCCCCATCCTGGAAATCACCCTCCCAGACAATGTTAGCCTAGTCCCTCTTCTGCTTGTTGGTAGATTGGGAACCCTTCAGACTCCCTGGCATCATGGCTTTTCATTTCTCCATTATTTCTGGTCCTTTCATGGTTTAAGTATTTTTTAAAAGGAATTGACTTGTTTTTCACTTTATTTGCATTGCAGGGGAGCTTAAGATTAGATCAGATTTACACTAGAGAGACAAGGTAAAAGTGAGGAGGTGGAGGGCCCAAACAGCTGGGGGTACAGCAAGAAATCCTTCTTGGAGGAGGTGGTACTTAAGGGTCACTTAGATTTCCTCAATTCATCAATCAATGCAAAATTATTAAACACTTACCCACTCAAAACTGAAAGAATGCCTACCCCAGTAAGCATACCATCTAGGCCACACTGGGCCAATGAAGTTGCTGAATTTGCCTGTAGCACCCGCCCATTTCCCAAACCAGTGATCTTTTTCTTCCTGCCCCAACCCTCCCAAATGCCTCTCTGGTCTCCTATTCGCATATGGCCTTGCTCACAGCTGGTTGTCAACTAATCTCCCAGAAAGCATTCAACAGTAGTTTCAGTTATATGATGATGATGATGACAATGATGATGATACAGCAGCTGGTATTTACATAGCACTCTGAAGTCTGTAAACTTTTGCCCAGCACAGTACCCTGGCAGATAGTAGGCATTCAATAAAGGCTCCATTGATTGCAAAGTCCTTTACGCACACTATTTTCCCTTCACAACAGCACAAAGTATTTTAAAACCCCAAAGAAATTGAAGTCTATGGCTTAAGAACAGGTGATTCAGTTGATCTTTGGGCTGGAAGGCCTTCTCCTACATTGGGGCCTAACTGTGCCCCAAAGGGACTATTTGCCTATTTTTTTCTCTTACCTGGATATAATCCAAAAGCATTCCAGCCATGGTCATTCCCATGCCTGCAAGCACAAAGGGTACGACCACTTGACGGCCAACGATCAAAGCAGTTTCTTCCCGAGGCTTTTTGGCATCTACCAGATGTCTCTCCGGGGAGGTCCATGGCACAGTGTCGGCCAGGGGCTGCCCTGGGCTCTCCGCTCTGGACAGGGGCTGCTCCTCAGTTCCCAGCTGCCCTTCCTTCCGCCTCTGTCTTGCCTCCTCTCCTCTCATCTTGGGTCACTTTGACATCATGTCATTCACTCACTCTGGGGCTAGAGGAAACAAGACAAGAAAAGAATTTTTTATGTCACAGAAGAGAAACTGCATTGAAGAGGTGAGAGGAAGGAGTGTAAGATCTAGAGAAGGAAAAGGAGGCCTACAGAGTCAGTGACCTGTACAGGGTCACAGAAGGAGGTGACAGAGCTACCATTTGAACCCAGGTCTTCTGATTCCAAATCTGGTGTTTTCGCCAGAACACCATGAGGTCCCCAGTCTAGAAGCCCCACAGACCCTTTAATTCTACAGATGAGACTGGTACTCTCTGTCCAATAATCCCTTATATTATTAGGAATGTTGTATGCTTTCCTGTCTCCCATTTCACCAGAGTCCCATAGCAACCCCAATCTAGAGCCACAGTTTCTAACAGGGGCTGGGGAAAAGGTTTTAGGAAGTCCCTAAAGTCACATACATACAGCTCAGGAGAATCACTGGCTCTTAGATGAGGAGATAGAAGGAAATTCAGAGGCCAGTTAATCCAACCCCTTCATTTTAACAAAAGTAGAAACCAAGGTCCAGAGATGGAAGTGGATAACCCAAGGTCACAAAAGGCAGTGTTGGGGGGGGGGAGATTTGAACCCAGGTCTTTTAATTCCAAAGACAGTTTTGCTCTTTTAAGAATAATAATCATATGTTGAAGTGAGTAGAACCAGGAGAACACTGTACACAATAACAGCCATGTTGTGCAATGACTAACTTTGATAGACTTAGCTCTCTCTTCTCAGCAACACAAGCATCTAAGGCATCTCCAAAAGTCTCATGATGGAAAATGCTACTCACATCCAGAGAGAGAACTATGGAGTCTGAATGCAGATCAAAGCATACTATTTGCTCTTTTTTCTTCTTCTGTTTTGTTTTGTTTCTTCTTTCTTCTCACTCCCTGGGAGTGAGAACTATATTATTATAGTTGCAGGTGTAAAGTAAATTTAGCATTGTAAAAATCAATCACTAAAGGATCTATTAAGCACCCACCTTGTGCTGTGGCAGGCTCTGAGGATATGGACAAAGAATAAAACAATAACTCCCCTCCAGGAGCTAACGATTTAGTAGAGGAAACAAGAAATAAATACATAAGTAAATAAAGTATAAAGATTAAATGAATAAATGTAAATAGATACAAAGTAGTTAACTGCAAGGGAGTTCGGGAGGGAGCCTGCTAGCAGTGGAGAAGATCAGGAAAGGTGCCATAGAGAAGGTGGTATTTGAAATTCATCTTCAAGAACGAGAGAGACTGGGGTCAGCTAGTTGGTGCAGTGGATAGAGTGCTGGCCCTGAAGTCGGGAGGACCTGGGTTCAAATATAGCCTCAGACCAAACGCTTGACACTTACTAGCTGTGCGACCCTGGGCAGGTCACTTAACCCCAATTGCCTAAAACCAAAAAAACAAACAAACAAACAAGAAAGAGAGAGACTATGTGGGAGGCAGACAGAGGGCAGGCAGTGCAGGCATGCAGCATGGCCTGGGCAAAAGTAGAGAAATGGGAGATCGAGTGTTGTGTATGAGAGAGGGAAGGCCAGTTTGGCTCGGTCACTGATGTGGAAAGGGGTATAGTGTCCACCAGAGCTAGAAATGTGACTTGGGGCTAGGTTATGTAGGACTTTGAAAGCTAGATAAAAGAGTCTGTATTTGATCCTAAGGCAAATAGGGAGCCACTGAAGTTTACTGAGTAGGGGAGTGACATGGTCAGATCTATGCTTAAGGAAAATCACAGCTGTGGCAGCTGCGTGAAAAATGAATTCAAATGGGAGAAGCTTGAGGTACAGAAGCCAAGAGGAGGCTGTTGCACTAAGCCAGGCAAGGAGTGATCAGCACCTTAACGAGAATGATGGCTATGAAGTAGTGAGAAAAAATCAGATGTGGAGGTAAGAAGCTGAGTGAATGATTGGATGGGTGGAGTACATTTGTTTAAGATACTGTAGTTTCTAAGCTGAAGTTTCCATGTCTGTAAAATCCCTCAAACCCCTTCAATAGCCGATATACTTTTTTAGCTTTTTCTTTCCATATTCCACTTCTCAAACTCCACCTACAAAATGGACTATTCTCCACGGCCCCTCTCTTCTCTGCCCCCCTTTCCCTCACTATCTCCCCTTGTTAATAATGTCCTTCCTTTCAGAGCGGAGCTCAAGAAACCATGGCCAACTCCTTTCCCCATTCCCAAAGTGATCTTCATTTGTCAAATGCCTTTTTCCTTGTTTTTGTTTTTTTAAGAACCTGATCATCAACAAAGCTTAAATCTTTCACTGTACAAAGGGCAAAAAGGAGGACTGCAGTCAGGAAGATCTGAGTTAAAACCCAGCCTAGGACGCTAGCTGTGTGACCCTGGGCATCACGTAACCCCTATTTGCCTCAGTTCCTCATCTGCAAAATGGGGACAGAATGGAGGGGGATATGGCAAATCATTCCAGTACCTTTGCCAAGAAAATCCCACGAACAGTCTATGGGATCATGGAGAGTCAGACACAACTGAACAATATTTATAACTGAACTTCCGTAACACAGTT